AAAAACTTGCACGGAGAGAGGAAGCATCAGCAGCAGCACAAGCTAAAACAGAAGAAGAAGGCAAAGACGACGACGAAGAAGACGCGCGAAGCTCACAGCTCGCATCACGCGATGTTGCCGCGCTTATATACTATAATATAATAGCGAGTTGGGAGAAAGGGTTTGCGCAGTAGTAGTGTTTGTGCTCTGCAACAACAGAAATTCTCGCGGCTACTGAATCACGACGCGCATTGCATTTAAGCTGCAGGTTTCTCTACCACACTACTGTACATATAGCAGGCTCGCATAGAAAAAAACTCAAGGTCTCTTTTTCAAGATAACGGGGTTGAGATTTCACGACCTTGGCCTAACCCGACCCGCACAAACCAGCTAGTAGAGAGAGGGAGAGATAAGAAAATTATTTTTGTATCGGGAAAAAAGGATATCTTATGTACCCGTAAGAGTCGAGTGCATCCTCGATAAGGAACGAGTTATTTATTCTATATATCTCGAGTTACTAACCGATCGATTTGTGGCTTAGGCAATCATGATCGGCCGTTATGACATATATTATTATGAACCCGAGAGATGCTGCTGCTCGTTACGCACAATCGCTCCTCCGACTTGCGCAACATTTATATTACAGCCTTTTTAATTAGTCTCTCTTACGAATCGACTCTCATTTTTTGCGTATCTTTGCGAATGAAAAATTTTTGCGCTTTATTTTTATTTTTATTGGCGAACTTAAACGAAACGAATTCAATAAAAATCAAACGATCCGCGTCGCGCATCAAATAAACCGTCAATTAGAAACAATTCGATCAATCGCTCGCATTAATATGGACATCAATCGCCCGTTTGTATTTTATACGAACACACACACACACATACATATCGACAAGACATAGATATACCGCCGAGTGCGCCTCCGTTCATTGATCAACACTCGCGTGCAATACAGAGAAAATGCTGCGCGAGGGACTAGTCGTATCGTAAAAAATATTTTTACTTTTTTTAATTGGAAAAAAGAACGAAAATAAATTTCTTTTTCATGTGTCCGCTGCAGCAGCAACTCCGCGGGGCAGTAGTAGAGCCAACTCCTTTTTTTACGGTAAATTTCGATGATGTTTACTCTTTGGGCCGTCATCACAAAGCAGCACCCGCGCGCGACTCGTTTACGAGTGTATTAAAAGAAGACGAACCAAGAAGAAAATAATAATAAAGTTTCAATTAACAGGTTCACTCTCTTACGCTATAGTAGCATATTTAAAATTACATGCGTGTGTATGTATGTATGCATGAATCAGCGATGAATCACGGGCGTACGTAGAGTCTCGCGCGTACTCGTTCGCGCGCAAAGTTAAATAATAGCAATGTATTACATTCTCGCATCACGAAAATTGGAATATTTGATGTTCAAATGCGTGCAAGTGACTGTGTATGTGTGTGGGTGATGGGATGTCCCGTCGATGGCGGTGGGCTGTTTATTTCAAGTGGATATAGCCTTCGGTGATGTATACACACGACATCGCGAGGAGCGGCTGTTATTATTACAAGTGAATTAACGTTTATCAAAACTATAAACGATGAATTTTTGTTTTTTTTCTTCGTCGTCTTCGTCGTCGTCGTCATCATCGTATTACTTGGCCAATTTTTCGCGTGACATTGAAAAAAACAAAACAAACAATAATTAATTTAATTATTTTTTGTTTCGATCGTTTATACGCAAACACATACATTACGAGTGGAGAGTCTACCAGCTGGTGACGCGCAATTGCGTAATATTTTGCTTGTTGTATGCATACACACTTGTACAATCGCGCGAGAGAGATAAAATGTGCATCGATACCGTACAATACGGCAGAGCAGTTCGCTAAGGAGTGTCTCTAATTTTTTCTCCGATACCTTATCGAATTAGTTAGCCTCTGTGGCTGCTGCTCGGCGTACAGTAACGCGCGTCTAAATAAAAAAATTCAACGAGATAAGGGAATGAAATTGCGTTATTTTCCGCGGAATCAGCGCTACGATGCGTGATGCCGCAGCAGCAAAACCAATTGCGAATGCACACGAGACTCCACTGTATATACTTTGTTCTCGTATAAGATTTTCGTGCAACGCAATATACATATGAATTTCAAAGTACATATTGAGACTGACGAAGAAAGATTTCGGAGAATCGCGGCTCCGAATCGTGTTTCATAGATATTTTTTTTGTAAAAAACACGTGTTTTTGTCATGAAAAATAATACTAAAAAAATAAATCATCAATCAGTATCGAATTTATCGAAAAAAAATGAAGAAATTATCAGCAATATAAGGACCATAATGATACGTGTCGTACACTTACTTACGAGAGAGACACACGCAGCATCACGAAAATCGGTATCTACGAATCTATTAATAATACGCTTATACAAGTGCTTCGTGACTAAGACCCGAGCGAATATCTCGCGCGCGATCGAATTATAAGCTCGAGAGCGTTTTTTACCCGAAAACCAACATTAGATTCGTATTATACATATTATAAGCGATTCGTCATCGACTAATCTCGCGTGTAAAAAAGGTCACGCGCGCTCGACGGTACGAAAGAAAGATCGCATCGTGCCTTCTTCCATTCTTCTTTTAACTTTTTGCGGCTATATTAAAAGTGTCCGAGGGACCCCCTCGACGACGCGTCGCGAGAAAGAAGAAAAGTTCAAAAACCTAAAATATAAACAAATTTAAACCCGCGCGTGAGTGGCTGTGTGTGTGCTTTTTGCGTCGGCAAAAAGGGCAATGGAAACGAATTGCCGGCGCGCGGAGTTTATACATGTATACAAGCTAAAAGTCGCTCCGATGGTGTGTAGGAGGAAAAAGGAGAAAAGATATTGGCGCAAGACTTTCTCAACGGGTTTTATACATATTATACGTATGTGTGCAAGTGTACATGTATACGGTTTGGAAATCATGTATTATACACACGCGCGCGCGGCGAGCTAGGGTACGGCTTATTAGAAACATTTATTTCGAAAAATTCGTGCTGATTATTCATGAGATACGGAATTTTGACACGCATCGATCGTGCCCCACTACACATAATAATAATGAACATAACATAAACTGACGTTGATAAATGAAGCGAGCGAAAAAATTTAACAATCGCCAAGCTCGCGAAGTGTATAGAGAGATAGGACAGCAAATAGCGAAAAAAACGAGGAAGAAAAAGAAGAGGAGAGAATCAATGCCACGGAGAGATATATCTACACGAGCTGCTATTCGATAAGCGCAGGAGGTAAAAAGTTAATACGGTTTCGCGCGCGAGTATGTACAGCACCCGATGCACAGCCGCATATTATATTGCGAAATAATGAAAACTGGCAAGTCTAAAAATGTTATTTTTGCCTCTCTCCTATCTCTCTCGCTCTGTTCGAGTGCAGCGCAGTGCGGCTAGCCCAGCGCTCAGCAGTCAGAGTTGTCAGGATCGGCAATTCTCTCTCGTAAAGCCAGAGCTGTGCTCTCCGCTGTGTGTAGTGCTCGGTCGGTCGTTTGGTCTCCCACTCGGAGTAGAGCCTGCAGAGCAGCAACAGTGCGGGGCCGTTTCTCTCCTTCGATACAAAATACTCCACCTACGGACTCTACTGTGCTCTGTGTTCTGTTTTTGCACTGCGCGGCTGCCGCGGCGAGCTCTCGGCCACATGTTCTTTCTCTCTCGTACACATACACAGAACACATACACACACAGCTGCGTTGGTAGCTATATATATTTTTGCGCGATTCATTCAACTCTCATTCATGCTCTCTCTCCCTCTTTTTGAAACCTCCTCCTACTCCTCCTCTTCTGGCTCTCTCACTGTGCTTTCAGTATGTATGCGAGTGTGTATGCACGCGTCTAGCTGTGTCTGCGTGCGAGAACTGCACCGTTTCAGCTCTGTGTATATCAAACCGAATACTCTTTTCTGTACCATCTCTCGCGCGGTCTCGCTCGGCCTTTTATTCGCCAGCTTCCTTTTATAGCCCTATACACCCATTATCGCGTAATATTATTCAAATCAAAAAGGTGAACTTGCCTGTCGCACGCATTCACACACGCATTCACAGGCATACACAGCGGAGCAACTATAAATGCACTACCACTGCATAGCTCGCAATCACCGCTGTATGCAGAGCAGCAAGAGCAATTACTGCCAATGTTGTAGGCGAGGGACGAGTTTTTATCAGCCCAGATAAATGTAAGCGCGCGCGCGCTCGCGACAAAATAAAAGAATGGAGAAAAAAAAACACGAGCTCCGATAAGAGGACTGCGCGCGGCCGTTGTTGTATATTATATGCATGCGCACGCGATGTGCACTGTGCACAGCGTAGAAGAAGATTATCGAACGGCGTAATATTAGGAGATGGCATTCGTAGAAAATGAACGAATATGTGCATTTATATGGATCATCTCGCTGTCAATGTGTATAACAAAGATCCGCGCCACCGCCGATCAGAAACGTCATAATATTATTATGCGAGAGAGAAGAAAGGGCGATTTTTTCCACAAAAAGAAGAAAAAGAAAATTAATGACTAGATACGGTTTTGTACCGATTTCTGGCGGCAGCGAAAATTTCCTTTTGCCGTGCAGTAGCAGCAGCAGCGCAGGGCACAAAACCGATCTCACTCTCTATGCTATATATTCGCCGACTCTCGACGCAGAGCTCGGAAGCGTGTCTTTTTCAAGGTTATAATATAACGCGCCTCGCTGTGCTTTCTCGATTCCTCTTCTCTCTGCTCTTCTTTTGCGCTCGTCCGCTCCGTGTTCTCTTCTCTCTTTCTCATTCATAGCACTTATAAAACAGCGAGACAGAAAGCGCGCAACAAACATATACACAACACAGCACACGCACACATAAACACATACACGAGAAAAGAGCGTAGGAGAGAGAGGCTCGCAGTACGGAGTTGAAAAAAAAAAGAGGAAAGAAAAAGAAATGTGGTCTGTGTGCCGCTATCGCGCGAATATAAGTATACGTGCGTAAAAAATAGCCAATGTATTGTAATATACCTTCGTAACGATTATTCAAGCGAGTGGTGGAAGGGACCTCGCTGCTGAAGTTTTGATACACGTTATATGAATGTCTGCTCCTCTCTTCGCAATTTATATGTATCGCGTTTGAGAGATGTATTCACATTCGAGCTGGACAACACACAAAACTAACTGTCCGAAACAAAACTGCCAATTTCACATGAATATATGTTTTTATAATATTCCAATAGACAGATCACACTCGGGCCACGAAGCTTCACTTTTTTTATCGATTCGTTTTGAGAACCATTCACTGGTCAATCATGAAAAACAATTGAATAACAAATACAAGCACTGTATAATCGCCCTTTTTCGCAAGGTATGTATGACAACAAACAAATATTGATATCGCAGCACTGCTTCAAGCGCACTGCACTTTAACGGTTTTTAATCCGTAAAATAATCGAACGTGCACTTTTTTCAAATTATTATACCATTAGAGCATCAAAACATTGGAACGACGGGTACAATACAAATGATATGGTGCAGCGGCGCGCCGGGATGGTGAATACACACAACGCGCGTGTATGTCTCGATCTATTCGTATACAAAAACGCAGCATCAAACTGTCGACGAAACGAGACAACAACACGGCGGCACGCAGAACGTATGTTGTATGTGTGTGGTACGGTCGCGCAGACTAATCGCTCGGAACTGTCGGAGGGACCATATCGTTTTGCCCAGCGAGCCTCCGCTCTGTTGCTGCTGCCTGCTAGTTCTGCCTGCGGCTGCCAGTGCCAGCGCCATGCCTCGCGCGAACGCTTCGTTCATCTGTGTGTGTGTGTGACACAATGTGTGTGTGTATAGATGTATGCGTGTGTGTTGGCAACCGGCTTCGCAGCAGCAGCGCGAGCGAGTCTCTCTCGCTCATGAATGAAACGAAAACGTTCTCTCCCTTCTTCTACGGAATCGCGCGTCAGAGACGTTTCCTCCCTCCCGCGCCTACCCAACGGCCAGTACGCATATAGATACTACTACGTCTGCAGCAGCAGCAGTGTCGTCGTCGTGTCGGTTCGGCCGAAGCTCTTCTCCTCTCGCGCTTTTTGTCAGCAGTGCGCGGCACGCTAGCGACATCTGCAGATTTCTGCCGTTGCTGCAGGTACTGCGCTGCAGCCCGCTATGCTCCGTTTTTGGAGTCGCGATATATGAAATGAAGGAGGAGCGGGGACCTTTTTTCGGAGTCGACGCGTAGTTTAGCGTTGGAAAAATCAGCTGGGCCTTTCGGATGGCACCGCGAGTGTGTGACACCTTACTCTCTTGCTGCTGTCGCGCACAAGTGTCGGCTCGGATTCCACGAACTAAGCAGTAGAGCAGTCATTGATATATGAGTCATTTCACGTCAAGTCTCCTAGCGCGGTGCCCGAGCGGCATTATTAATCGAAATTGCTCAATTTGTAACTCGCCAGAAAAGCACCTAAATGCACCCAGAAAAAATATGTGCCATATGATTTTGATAGGAAATTTCCTCAGCTTTCCGATGGTAGGGTCAGATTTTCCGAAATTTTCACTTTTCCCCGGAAAAACTTGACATAAACTTTCAAACTCAAATATCTCAAAAACGGCATTTTTAAGATTTTTTTAAATAGTGCCAATCGAAAGCTGAGAAAATTTCCTATCGATATGCAAGTTTTCAGAGAGTACTTTTGATAATTATTCAATGAAATACAGCGACGAACGTGTAAAAACGTGACATTTCGGCCCGTGCGGCAGCTGTTCCCGCGCGCAGTACCCCGCGCGGCGCAAAATCTCACGTTTTTACACGTTCGTCGCTGTATTTCATTGAATAATTATCAAAAGTACTCTCTGAAAACTTGCATATCGATAGGAAATTTTCTCAGCTTTCGATTGGCACTATTTAAAAAAATCTTAAAAATGCCGTTTTTGAGATATTTGAGTTTGAAAGTTTATGTCAAGTTTTTCCGGGGAAAATGGAAAATTTTGGAAAATCTGACCTCATCATCGGAAAGCTGAGGAGATTTCCTATCAAAATCATATGGCACATATTTTTTCTGGGTGCATTTAGGTGCTTTTCTGGCGAGTTACAAATTGAGCAATATCGATTAATAATGCCGCACGGGCGCCGCGCTAGGAGACTTGACGTGAAATGACTCATATATATAGCCGTGCGATATGAAAATATAAAAAGTATACTGGCGCGATGAGGAATTCCAGCCCGGCTGTGATTTACACTCTATGCGGTGTTCAGCTGCAGATTTGTTTACTAATCGTTATCGACTCCTACGTAAAATATATCGCACTGTTACTAATTATCCCGCGGTGCATTATTTGCTAATGCCACATGTAGCCCCACGCCATGGCTTTTTAATATTGCGTGGGCGGGAAACTCGTCTGTATAGACATGCGACAGTGTAGCGCGTGTAGCGATTCAAAAGGAGCCCCCAATGTTTTTCTCACGCAACGATCTCGTCTGATTTACGAAAATATGACTTTCTCGCGCTGTATACATACATGCATGTAATACGATGACACTCGATACGCGCGCGAGCTCCAGCACAGAGATCGATTTTTTATTTCATTCTTTTTCTTCATTTTGTAAATTTTCTCTCTTTCGCGCTGACTCGAGCACTCGAATGAATCGGAGCCGATGTGCGCGTATAATAATAATCGAGCCGCATGTGCCCGCTCGATATTCCCATGATTCCCATGAGATCGGTATAAAAGCGATAAATTGCCTACCCAATAAACTCATCTACCGCAAACCACAGCACAGCACTCGTGCGTGTGTGTCATATGTATTCGTATATAATAAATATTATATGCACGGCGAGACTCTGGGCTACCTCAAGAATCGTGTAAATGACCAATTATACAAGCTGCTGTGTCCAACAACGCGTCGTATTATATATAGCTGCCCTCGAGCTGTGTGTACATACTCTGCGCTCTGTGTGTCGTTGCTGTTACACACACGTCCACTGCTTATCAATTGACAGCTCTCGTCAATATGCGCGAAACGCAGTACAGCTTCCACGCGAGGCAGTATACCTTATACACAGCTCGTTCGAGATGGTGAAGAGAGAATGAATATAAAGAGAGGAAAAAAAAAGAATACGAACGACGAAACGAAAGAGCCAAATAATGTATACACAATTGCGTGACGGCAACGACGACGACGACAAGGCATGAAGCGCGCACCACGTATATTATCACGGCCACGCATGCACACGACGAGTCCTAAGAGAGTTGCAAGTTGCGCATACGAGATGAGGCTTTAGCGCGTGTGCTGAAACGCATCGGAGAACCGAGAGATGGACTGCGGCTGATGGCTTAGCGACAAAAGGGCTTGTGACTTGCGAGAGAGTGAGTGAGTCGCTGCTACTGCTGCTGCTGCTGCTGGTTTGACGCACACGCGAGAGAGAAAACAGTCAGTGCTGTATATGGCAAAAGAAAATAACAAAATCATTTTTTTCTCTTCTTTATTTTTTTCTTGTACGCACGAGGTGGTAAATTTCGACGCGTCGATGGAATATTGATGATTCAACGACGAGGTGCAGTGGTAGTAGCTGTGTACGTTTTTCGACTTGGCGGATATAAATAAATATACGCAGGGGCAGGAAGTTACACGATTATGCGAGTTGAATGTTATCGCGCTCGCAGCTCGCCTCCCGTATATATAAACCCCGCACACAAGTGCACAAGTGAAAACTTGATGGATTTTGGACAAATCGGAAAACAGCCGCACTCACTTGGGTGAATCTCATTAAATCATCGCGCGGCACTTGAGTCTGACAACAAGTGTCTGCCGTGTATAATATCTGCTGCAATCGCTATACTAAGATCGTATTGCGATTGGCGCCCTGAATTGTCCTCCCCCCACGTAATATATTCGAGCTTTTGTACATTGGCTCATTTGCCTCGCAGACGCGATGGACGTGCATTAGTTTCGTGATTTATTTGCTCCAGAGCTACGTGCGACGACTTGTCTCATACGCACATGTGCAAAGTCGATGCGACCAAAATGCACATGGGATCTTGTATTGGTAGCAAGTTGCGCTCGAGGGAATGTGTGAGATGAGAGCTCGGCATTGATAATATTCACACAACACTTTTGTAATTCTCGAATTACTCGATCATCGGTTCAGTTTTTTGCTCGATCGACTTTGTGGTTCAGATCTAAAGTTATGCTAGAGTAAGAGTTATATGGTAAAAAAGTTTATCGTCTGTTACTATTTGCTCTAAAAATAGTGTAATACTCGAAAAAAAATTTGCTGAGATCAACTTGGTGCACTGACATTGTTAGTTTTAGAAGTCCGAAAAATCCCTCGAAAAAATCTTCGCAATATAAATTTTAAACTGGATCAAATATTATAATAATATATAAGCAGATAATTCGGTAACTTAATGGTAAACAATATGATTGTAAACTATTTTGACATAGTTCCTCGAACCGCTGATCATGTTTATATGGTGAAAACTAATTACTTTGAATGTTGTCTTTCCGATGAAAACAATTTCATACCAAAATATAAGTTTTACTCGTTCAATTTTCTTGGTAATAAGAGGAAAAGTCCATCGTTTAATTTAGGCGTCGAGATGGATACAAGTGATAAGAAATCCGACTCGGAAAATAATTCCAGTGAACACGACATTGTTGTATCAAATGACAAAAAATACGTTTGTGATATTTGCCAGGAGGAATTTACACAAAAATCAAGCATGATAACACACAAAGACACAAATCACAATTTTGCATGCCAACAGTGCAAGAAGAAATTTGTGCAAAAATCGAGTTTGATTATGCACCAAAAATTAATACGTAAAGATCGCGAAAATTTTATGTGCAACAAGTGCGAGAGGAGATTTGAAAATAAATCAACGTTACTTAAGCACAAAAAAATATTCCACGAAGTTTTTAAAGATTACTTATGCGACAAGTGTGCAAAAAGATTTGGAAATAAACAGAGTTTGCTATGGCACATAAAGACAGTCCACTACGATAGCAATGATTTCACATGCGACAAATGCGAACAGAAATTTAAAAAAAAATCACATTTATTCTTCCATGTGAAGACAATACACAGCGTCCTCAAAGATTACCAATGTGACGATTGTGGGAAGAAATTTGGACATAAAAATACTTTGTTCTTGCACGTAAAAACAGTCCACGAGGGTCACAAAGATTACGGAGAACGATTTGGGAATCAAAGCAATTTGATAAGAGATAAAAGAATAATCCACGAAGGTCGGATAGATTACATCTCAAAAGAATTCAAAGATTACTTATGTGACAAGTGCGAGAAGATATTTGGAAAAAAATCACATTTGCTCGATCACCAAAAGACAGTCCACGAAGGTCGCAAAGATTTTGCATGCGACAAGTGTAAGAAGAAATTTGGGGTTCGAAGCAGTTTGATCAGACATCAAAACACAGTGCACGAAGGTCGCAAAGATTTCGCATGCGACAAATGCGAGAAGAAATTTGGACAGAAACCGCATTTAATAGTTCATCAAAAGACGGTCCATGAAGGTCGCAAAAATTTTGCGTGCGAAAAATGCGAGAAGACATTTGGTGATCCGAGCGTTTTGATCAGGCACCAAAAAACAGTGCACGAAGGTCGCAAAGATTTCGCATGCGACAAATGCGAGAAGAAATTTGGACAGAAACCGCATTTAATAGTTCACCAAAAGACGGTCCATGAAGGTCGCAAAGATTTCGCATGCAATAAGTGTGATCGGAAGTTTGGACTTGCACGTCATTTGTTGTGCCACCAAAAAACAGTCCACGAAGGTCGCAAAGACTACGCGTGCGACAATTGCGAAAAGAAGTTTATCCAAAAAGGGTACTTGTTTCAACATCAAATAACTGTCCACGAAGGTCGCCAAGATTACAACTGCGAGAAATGCGATAGGAAATTCGGAGTACAGAGAAATTTAAGAAAACACCAGCAAATAGTCCACGAAGGTCGCAAAGATTATGAATGCAACAAATGCGAGAAAAAATTTGGAGAAAAATCGAAATTGATTAGACACCAAAAATCAGTACACGAAGGTCGTAAAGATTACTCACACGACAAGTGTGAGAAAAAATTTTGACAACAGGGGCATATTTGTCGGTTTTGTGGGCTCTCACTAAAAGACAATCTATGAAAGTTGCAAAGATTAAGCATGCGACAGTAGTAAGAAGAAATGTTGATTAATAATTGTAAATATGTATGGATACTTATATGTATGTATTTTTTAATTTTCAATCAAAATTGTGCTTGCCTGAACCTTAGGCGTTTAACTATTATTACACCGTTGTACTCTGTTGTTGTGGAGAATAATTTATGCTAGTTACTACTTTCTTTTCATGTTTTCGACACTTGGTCCCTGCATTTATTCATGCAGTAATTGGCTGAGAATTTTTTTCACGTCTTGTTTGGGATGTTGAATGGGTTGAGTGTTCGTTGGCTACTGGTTTTTTTTAATAAACTTCACCTAATGATACGTGACCTTGATTAAATCGACCGTCCCTACGAAGAGTATCACCGTTCCAGTGAAGCACGATCAAAAAAATCTCTCCTGAAAATTTGTGGAGAAAAAAACTCTCTTTCGAAGATAAGGTCCAGAAAATCTCTCCAAAAATTTATTTTTTTTTGTTTTTGTTTTTTTTTTTTTTTTGAAGAGATTTTCTTGATCGCAGATTTTTTAGAGAGATTTTCTTGACCGCTTCTTTGAAAGAGAGTTTTTTTCGCCGCCGATTTCTGAGAGAGATTTTTTTGACCGCATTCGCATGAGTGATTGTCTTCGTAGGGACGGTCGAAATAAAACATGCACTAATAACGGATTTTGATAAATTTACCGATACACTGATTATTGCTGATAAGAGAGACGTGATTGGTAATCACAATAAGTTTTTACCAAAAATAACTAACGTAGAAGCTAGTTATTAATTTAATTATGTATTAGAGTTTGGTGAAGATCTGTGGCCCAGAGACGAAAGGCTCTCATTGTGAGTGGACAACCTTGCCATGTAATTTAGCGAAAAAACCGACTTCTCCAGAGAATTTCTCGCCGAGTCTAGTTTTCGACTTGGTGCAAAATTTATATTTTAAATACTAAATTCATTATGTATGCATCTGTACTTGATTGATTCTAACTTATGACTCAAGTTGACGAGTTCGAGTTCGAATCGAGTAAAACTCGAAAAATTGGAAACTCGGACAACAATGATATAGAGGAGAGGCGGAGACTTCTAGGATTTTTTTTATTATCTCGGCCGGGAGCAATAATATTTTTATACTATCAATTAATATTGTAATATTCTAATTTCGTTTGATTATAAGAAGCGTAAATTTTATCAAAAATCCACGTATACAAAATTTTTAGTTAAGAGTTTTTTGAACAATTATTTAAATACAAATTATTCCAATTCCAAATCATGAAATAAAAATTTAATTCTGTGGTGGAAAGGACTAACGAGATAACTCCATTTTTTTCGAAATCGAGTTTATGACATGAATTACCTATATGTTATGTCTACTTTAAGGTACAAGTGTCACAAAAGCTGAAAAGAGCACCTATCGTTCAATATAACACCGTGCCTAACGAGATAAGTCCATTTCGCAGCAAACGAAATGCGATTAGATTGATTTGAAAATGGAAGAAAATGATATTCCAACATACAAATGGCTCTTACACTCTTCGAATGTTGTGAATTTCACTATACGATTGGTACATTTGAAACGCGAGGGGCCATTTTCGCGATTTTCAGTGTGGCCTTTTTTCGTTGCATGATTTGAGATCTGACACCAGTATAACGTTAAATGAGCTATTTAATCCATGAAAAATCACTATGATGCGCCTCTCAATTTCATAAATACATAGTTCAAAAGATACCTCATAATAGGTAAAAATGTCATAGGTACAGATCTTTAGTCGTCCGCGTCTAGCTAGGCCTTCGTGCGCAACTTAAAACGCGTTTTTCTCGAAAACACGAAAAATGGAGTTATCTCGTTAGGCCTTTCCACCACAGAATTAAAAGCCTATCGTTTATTCATTTAAATTAATTATAATTAGATAGAATGAATTATTTTATTGAAAATGAAACTTTGATCAATATTCGTTTATTTTTAAATTGCGGTGTTTGTAAAAATGGATATTTTTTCAAAAATGACATTAAAGATATTCGTTAAAATATTAAATTTATTATCGATATTTGAATCTTGATGACACATAAATTGCCGAGCATAAAAATAATTTTTTTTTACAAATTTTTCATTAAAATTTCCATATTTCCATCAAGTTGAAAAATTAATTTTTGAATATGGAGGGAATATTTTTAATCGTACGCATGAGTATAGTAAAGATTCGTTTGAAATGACCACTTATTTCAAATAGATCTTCATACACAGAGTAGGAGTGGGAAAGAAAGTGAAATCCAATTTCATTTAGATTTGAACTAACGGACGTATTCCCCGTATTGATTGAATTTATCTTTTTCGTTTCAGTACAGATGTCTACGTACAAACACACTTAGTATAGACATGTAGCACACTCAATTGTGTTTTAATCACAGCGACTATCTTTTTATTGATGTGTATTTGATTTTATTAAATTTTGTTATAAAACAAAAATGTATAGACCACAGTGCGGAATTTGTCAAGAATTTATTGACGATAATAGTGTTCTTTTCACAATACCATGTGGTCATATCCAACATCATCATTGCCTGCTTCGTGTGTTGAGCGAGTAAGTCTGAGAAAAAGTTCACGTTTTCTTTTCTATATTTTTGTCTTCTTCGCTAATCTAGTCAATAAGCTTAAATAATTTGTTTGTATGAATTCTTATTAATCAATACCATTAGAGTCTAAGCGGGTTAAAATTTATGAACTCTTTTACCGTGATTTTTGAAGTATATTTTTTTCAGTAAGAACGAAATTGATCTAAGAATAATTTACGTAAAATATAACTTATAAAAAGTAGTAAATGAAACTTCCTATAAAGTATACCAAAGTTTTTTAATTTTTAGTGCGTGATCAAATACACGAACGATTGTAATTACATAAAAATCATTTTTTAATTTTTATCATTCGTGAAATAAAATAATAAAGTTATGCAAATTCCAATCGATTGTCAAAAATTATCCCATTTTTAAATTAAATTAAAAAGACTCAATTTTTTTCTGAAATATACCAATTTTATGTCTCTTTATTTACCTTATTCCTTTACACATTAGTCGGTCAAGTGCTTAGCAACCAACATGATAAAAATGATGATAAAAACGTCGACAGCTAAGTCGAGCACATAAGAAGCCATCAGGAATTGCCTTGATCGTCATCGATTTCATGTCATTGTATTTACGTCATTCATCTCCGCATCAGAAGGTTATTTGCTTAGCCATTGACTGAACCAATCAGAAGGCGAGCCCACGAAAACGCCGATATGGTCACTTTACTGATTTGCCTGGAGGAATAACAAACAAGGTCTCTCATTTACTTAACCCGCAACACCTTCTTTGTTATTCCACTAGGCAAATCAGTAAAGTGACCATTTCGTGATGTACGGCGTGACAATCTGAAAGCGCCCTTTAGAAGATGGGCACGAACCACCAGTGATCGTTTGGTTCCAACCTATTTATCTGTCAGACGCTGTAGTTTACATTTGTCTCCGCGATATGTTCCGGTATTTCTGTCGTTATAATCAGTAACTTTTCTGTATGCTTAATTCCATACCTCCACTGCAGTTGGGTAGAGCCTCTCTTTGCTTTGCGGTGCTCGTTGATATTAGTGAGGGCCAATATTTCTATCATCCTGTAAAATCTACATTTTCAAAACTAAATTGGTTTCTTGAAGATCTCAAGATTAACGAGTTGAACTGATGCTTTCGCCGATCAAGTTGGTTAAACAAAGACAACTTGGAAGCCACAACACTAAGAAGAAATAAAAATCTGTCGACTTTAACGGCAGTCACACTGAAGTACATCATGCAGATAATTATAAACTACATGGTTAGTAAGCTTAGTAAATTGGAACCAATCGATCACTGGTGGTTCGTAACTGTCTTTTATTTCGTCGTTTTTGTCTTTTCAACGTCTGATCGATTCAACTAATAGCTAAGCACATGACCGACTGATGTGAAGATGAATAAAGTGAACGAAATGACATAAAATAATTATATTTTTAAAAAGCTGAGTTTTTAATTAAGTTTAATTAAAAAGGTGGATTTTATTTTAACAATCGATTAGAATTTTTATTTTTATTTATTGACACTGTTTTCTTATTTTATTTCATTGACGCAAAATGTATAAGAAATCTATTGTATTATCTTTTGTATTTATATTGTTCTACATTTTCTATGATAATAAGGTTCGATTTATTCATGCGTGCTGCTTATCGATAATTTGAATGTAAAAGTGTCCAAATTAATTGGAAAGTTTATAAGGGTTATTGCATCTGTACAGATGAAACGTGTTAAAGTATATGTAATAAAAAAATGTGTAAAAAATGTACTACGAGCCCAAAATCATTTCCGCACCTCACATTTTCTTATACTTTTTTACTTATTGGTAAACCTCACAACATTGCTTATTCTAGCTAGAAAAATTTTCCGTAGGAGATTATAAACTTAAAGTTTGAAAAAATGTTCAAAATATATTCACAATTTGTAGATAATCTATAAAGAACCCATGTAATATTTTAAATTTCAATGTTATATTGTTGTAGTTCACAGACATGTCCCATATGCCGACAGAAAGCATCGCAATTGGATGCTAAGAAAGTTTTTTTAAATTTTTCTGCAATCCATGATGACGAGGAATCGCCAAGAATAAAAAAATTACGTAAAAAAAATATGAATTTGTTAGCGAGGCTGCGTTCAACTGAGCTCGATCACGAAAACTGCAGAGTGAAATTAGAAGAAGCAAGACGGTACGCGAAAGTTCTTGAAAAGGACTACTGGATAGCGTCTGCAAAAGAAATAAAAAGTACTCGCGCTTTACTAGAAGCGAAGAAAAGAATACAAAATTTGCAGTTGAAAAATAGTGAACTCCAAAAAGAATCGACCAATGAAAGGGAAAAATTTATTGAAACCATAAAGTGAGTTTTTAATATTTATTTTGTGCCATTAAAATATCTAATATTTATTGTTAGAGAAGTTGTTAAATTAATATTTATTGTATTTCTCTCAGAAAACTGGAAGAATGGAAACAAAATACCTATTGGGTAGCAATAGGGTTTCATACTTGCTTGTTGATTATCATGCTTATAGACCAATTAGGTGGAATAGAATATTTTGGTATTTCGAAAAGTACGTTTCTTTCGAACCTCGTTTTTTTAATAATTATTGTTTCATCGACACTTATAGTAGATGGATTTCAGTGAGTATTTTCGATCGAACTGCGTTACATAAAATAAGTATATAATAGTATAATAAGTAGTTAATTGTAACTATTATTGTGATATTATTGTAAATATGGTTATAAATATGGAATGATATAAATTACTTTGGTAACAAATATCATGCGACACCTAGTGTAAAAAAATTATAAATCTTACAGTCCTTTTAAAGAATTATTATGATAAACAATTAGAAATGTAATTATGATCAACGAACTATTGCGAAATTCATGAAAATTTTTATGTAAGATGTGACCAAAGACTGTGAAAAAATTAAGGTTTATGTTTCTGGTTTCAAAGTCAAAAAGAAATGATTAATTGAATCCGATATGAAAAAGTAAAAATTATACTTTTCTAGTATAAAAACTATTACTACAATTATCTTACATGAATAAGTTATGCTATAAAGACGATAATATTAATAAGATGTTATGAATTCATAATCACATTTTATATTAAGGTCATTATTATCGCATTATATTGTCTGGTAAAAAATAAAACACGACTTCTGATTACTTATTACAGTTTTTATTTATTTTTATTGACTTTCTTTGAATAATGATTTTTTTATAAGTGAAAAATCACTGAAAAATACAAGTTTTATGTTATTCAGATCTATTTGTACAAAATAAAGCTTAACAAAAGTTTTTAATGGTTCATTATGCTTTTTTAGTTTTCTGGCAAGACTAAAAATTATCTGCCAACCAAAAAATGAGTATTTAAAATTCAAAATTTTAGTTTACTATTTGTAATGGCTGTCAAAAATACAAATTCAACCTCGAAAGATGTTAGAAAACCAAGTAAAGCAGATTTTGTTCTTGGAATTGAAATTTTTATTCAAAAAATATTTTTTTTAATTATGTTGTATTTATTATCGTCAAAAATTGTCGACTTGTGACATTTAACATTACTGCGCATGCGCGCCTCAAGACAGTTTTCTGCTATGTTGATTACTCCCACTCCCTACGGCAGTTGACTTCAGTAAAATCGAAGAACAATATGTAAGTCGAACATTTTTTACTTCTATTGTTTATTTTATTTCGCACAGTGAAAGTTTTTCAATTTTTTTGATTAAATAGGTTTTATTTGACACTTTTTAACTCATTACAAGTTCTAATGTTCGACTATGATTTGACAAGTGGCTCATAATACAATTAACCTCTAAAGTACTATAAATCAATTCGCGGGACGAAGAATTCGCAAAGCGCAGTTATGTAACGCGTGATTTTTTTAACGATTTTTAATATTTATCAAATATTTTTTTTCCAGCTCATCAAAACAAAGCAAGAATGCTGTCAAAACGCTTGGTTGCAGCTGTTCCACAGCTTGCAAAACGCAATTTTGGAGTTGCTGCTCCAGCCCTGAAACAAGCCACTGACCCTATTCAACAACTTTTCCTCGACAAAATCAGGGAGTTTAAAAACAAGTAAGTCTTATTTATTTATTATTATTTTTAGATGTTTGATTTGTTATCTATAATGTATGTAACATTTCATGAAAGAATTTTGAAGTAATGTAAATTTACTGCCAACGCAATTCAGCATTCTTGTAAAATAAATGAACCTTTCAAGTTAATTATAAAAATATTCAATTTGCAGAGGTGGCAAAGCTGAATTGACCCCTGAACTTGCTCAAATGAGGAAGCAAGAACTTGAAAAAGTTGCCAAACAATTTGGCGGTGGTGATGGTGCTGACATGACCGCTTTCCCCAAGTTCAACTTCCCAGGTTAGAATTGTTTTCTATTTTATTTAAAAAATATTAATATTTTCAAAATAATTTTCAATTTTATTTATTTTCTTTCAGAACCCAAAGTTGAAGTTAATCCCGTCAACAATTAAGTATCTTTATTAAGTGTAAAGTTCACAAAAAATTTAGAATAAAAGTTATTAATTGTTAAGGGTAAATTTTTATTCTTTTTGATATCCTTATACTTGAATATTATCTATACAGCTAATAATAACAAATTTACAATTTATTAAATCAATGCTATTCGATATTTGTCAACATGAAGTCTAGGCTTTCACCTAATAAAGGCATTTGACATCTTGTAGATATAAGCCTCAATATTTTCAAAGTTCTTATAAAATTGTCTCTTGACAGCATTGTTTTAAAATAACCAGAGCATGAACATCGTTCAGCTATGTTATCTTGTTTTACTTCATTACATGTTAAACACTGAACATCTTGGATCATATATCCTACACTCTGTCTATTCAATGAATCAATTAAATTAAATTCAATCTGATCATTATCATATGAAAGATGGCAATTCGGACATTTCCACATTTGTCTGAAATACAATAACAATTATGTAACTTTATGTTTAATGCTCAATATAATAGCTGTAATTTGAACTCACTTATTATCTTCGATATGCTGATAACTATCTTTACAAAGATCAATATTTCGAACGTGATTACAGTTTTCACAAAGAACTTCTGGCAATGTAAAGGACACACATGGATCCTTCCATTCTGCTTTATCACTAAATGCTCCTACATCTATCAGTCTTAATAAATTTTTATGCAAGTTAGAAACCTCTTCTTCGATTCTTGGATCCAAAGACAAAACCTATTAGAAAAGAAATAATAATGAAGAAAATAATTTAAATTAGATAGTAAAATTTCAAGGCAAATTTTACCTTGCATATTGCTTTTGATAACTCAAGGGCTGGATTTATAGTCATCTTTTTGCTTTTATGATCAAAGTCTAAATGAGGATATTCTTCAAGGGTCAATTCTTTTTCTGGATGTTTTTTATGTATAGCTTGAATGTAACTAAAAAATAATTTTATTAGTTACAAATACGAATACGAATTTTATTAGATACAAATTCAAAAACCTTTAAAAATTTTTAATTGACTTACTGAAATAGTTTCTGAGACATTTCACCAGATATAAGATCTTTTACAGTTTTGACAACATCTTCTGGTTTACTTGTTAGTAAATTTTCATATAGAGTACCATAATAGGTAGAAATTGTTTTTGTAAAGGTCAATTGACACATTTCTATTGGCACATATTCAATCATGTTCCAATTCATTACTAATTCCACCTTAAAAAAGAAGATTTATTTACTTATTTTATAATTCCTATATAATTGATTAAAATTAAATACCTCTTCTGATCCCGATTGAGACTGTGCTACCTCTGATTCTTCAGGTGGAGTCATATTTACGTCTGTTTCTTCTAATCTTTTATTTTTTCTAATTCCAGCAAAATTTGACTATGAAAATAAAATTTTTTTTAATAATCATTTTATCATTTGGAATCATTAATGTATGAACCTACCGCATCCAACCAAACAAGAAATTCCCAACATCTACGGACTTCAAAATGAATACTATGAAAGAGTTCTTTGTTCAATATTGATTGAATGATAAATTGGGTATAACCCTGCGCATCGCTCGTGACTTTTTTCTGTGTACACAATATGATTTTTGTAAAATCTGCATGAATTATGGTCGAGCCCATTCTTTGGAGCTCTGACACCAGCTGGACGAATAATTTTTTCGTGTAATTGTGTAGAGTACGACGTAGAGCCGGGTCATACAAGAACGATGTGGGCGAACGCAACCATCTATTCGATTAGAAATGAATTATTACGTTAACAAATGATTCCATGTATCAGTGAATGCTTTTAATTTATTCTTACCGATAAAAGTGCATGAGCAAATAGTCAGCGAATGGATTTTTAAACTGACTGACTTCTTTGAGCCAAGTAGCTACCATATGCTTCATAACTTTGAAAGCTGGGTTACACAAGGCTGCCTCATCATAAGAGGGTATTCCATTTATTAATGCAGCATCGCCCGATACAATATCCTTTAACGAATTATTGGATTAATAAATTATATTTTTTAATCTAAAATAATTGATTTTTAAAATTTATACCTGTAACGATGCTTGCTGCGCATTGTGAAACGCCACATACGAACTGGTACCTTCAATATCGTTGATGTGATGCGACTGCACCAATGCAGTCACAGCTAAACTGATTAAATCCAACTCGAAGCAAACGTTAATATAAACACCAGGATGAGTTTTAGTACACCCAGATTTCTCTTCAATATCGGTGAGTAGCCTACTGTCGTCGTTTTCGCTGCCTCCGAAATCTGGTTTTTCGGTAGCCGACCACCAGAGCACAAAATTGGCTTTCTGCAAGTGTCGGGCGTAAAACAAGTCGGCGCCGAACATAATGACGTCGGTTGGTAAATTTCCAACCGGAGCATAAAAATATCGAGCCTGCTCGATCAAAGTCCTCAGGACCATTTCGTTTTTGAAGTAATGCCGTAGCATCATCTTGGATCCAGCCCTCTGCCAATCGAGAGTATCGTAAAGATCGTCCAGATCTTGAATGTGATTTTTCACTACTGGAAATTCGTTCAAGTACGGCATTTTCGACGTCAACATCGTTAGTGGCATGGGTGTTTGAGCAACTAAAATTGTAGCCCCACTCACTTCTTTTTTGTAATTTTTCAAGGAGTTCTGTATACGCGTGTAAATGGCTTTTACGTCGGTTTCAAATTTCACTTCGAACTGCAAAGTTTCGGGAGTTTTATCGACAAACTCTAATTCCTCCATTTCGATTCTATATAACAAAAATTGGTACTTTCAAATTTCGAACGAAATTTCATTTTCTCACAATTATACTTACGCTTTGTTTCTTTCGTTGGTGTACAAGGTATTCATATTAGGCATGCGATCGGTTCTAACGGTGTCCAATGCAAAAATTTGACAAATCTTCTTCTCGGGCAAAAACAAGCTCCACATGCCTCTTTTAAAATTACTACTGACAGACCAATGGTGATACAAAAATATTTTCTTCATTTCTCCGATCTGTATTAAGAATAACATTTTAATGAGTATTCGATAATGTCGATGGAGAATGATGTTGTTTAAAATTAACGCACTTGTTTTAGATATGGCTGTGTGGAAAAAGTTCTAAAATTCAATTGTTCCAGATCGAAGGTATCGGTGTCTTTGAGCTTGGGCATCGCTGCCCTGTCAACCGCGCACACGCATCCCAAGTTCATTATTGCACGAAACTCCAGAGACATTTGCGTTTCGTAAATACCCTCGATATCCGGTTCTATGATGTCGTTCATCAGCGCTCTAAAATTAATGTTAAAATTAAAAATGTACGTTCCGAGTGATGAAAATGAATCTCAATACGCACCCACTGTGTGTTTTGAAGGATCGTTCGGGTAAAGAATACCTATAGAGATGATAAACCGGTCGCGAACGCGGTAATATTCTGTGGCACTTTTTCCAAGCTCTTTTCTCATCATCTCCTGCTTCTTGTCTCTCTAGGCGAGTATTGACGTAAAAAATCCTCGGCACGTTGAGTTTGATCAGCTGCAGCTCTTGGTCCACGAGTATCCAAACTCGGAACAAACCGGGTTCGCTGGTTTCTATCATCTAAATGAAAAATCATCTCGTTAGTCTCAAGCCCGATTAAAAGAGGGTGTCATTGAAATTACCTGAATAATTTGCCACGGTGTTTCCAATAGCTTTTGTTGAGCGCGTTGCAAAAAGCCACCGAGTAATCCTTGATTCTTGGATGCCGGTTTACTACTCGAGGGAACTGCAAAGCCCATATCCATTCTCGATCGTTTCGGAGCACCGAATTTCTTTTTCGCGGCTCTTTGCTTCGCTTGGTAGGCCCACTTTTCTTTGTGGAATTTCAACCACGCTTCAAATTCTTCCTGTCATAATGAAAATCAATAAAATTGTTAACGTTGCTTGAAAATCAGAGAATAAAAATTGAAACTTGAGCTTACGTGAGTGGTTGGATTTGCCGGTGGATTACCCAAAACTTTCCTCCAATTATCCTTCATTAGGCTCTCGTGCTCCTTCTCGGCCGCCTCATGCTCTTCGTCGGAGAACGTTCTCTTCCTCTTGGTGACGGTGTAACCGAAAGGTCGTTGACTCGCTGAACCAGGAGCAGCGCCGATGTCCTCCATGTCCATTATCGAGCGCTCGGCCTCGGCATCCGAATCATCGTCCTCCTCGCCCTCTTCCTCGTCCTCGTTCACTGGTTTCTCGATACGCTGAAACACGTCGGTGATCTTTCGCTGCTTCCGGCCGTCCGTCTTCTCAAGCATCTTCTTGTGCAGCCAATCGGGATGCGGCACCCTCGGTACCGGATTGGAAATCCCCTGCAGAGCCGCCGGAATGGTGATGATCTTCTGTATGGTGCTGCCCAGACGCTCGATGTAATACTGCCAATCGAGAATATCTCGAATCTCGATCTCCTGGATGCTCGGATCCTTCAGCCAACGTCGCAGGTAGTGCCGGGTTACCGAAGGTTCCGACTGGAAAATAGCCAACGGCACGGCGCGTTCCGTGACCGGTGCTCCGAGCGGCTTTCGCGATATAATGTATTTACAGGCCAATCCGGCGTCTTTGACCATCTCATCGCCGAGAAATTCGGCGAGACGCTTGGCCGTCGATATGGACGTCGATTTCTGGGCTCCGTACTCGTCCAGTTTCTTCGACATGCTCTTGTTTTCCGAAATGAGATCGAACAGCTCGGTGTCGGTCACGTGGGCGCCTTTTTGAAACAGAATGTCGAGCCAGTAATTGGCAACTTTGGCCACCTCGGCGTAGCACTCCTCCAGCGTGCCTCCCTTCAAGAAAGACTCGAACACGTTCGATTGGAAGAGTTTAATGAGGCGCAGCTCTCCTCGTCTCTTCACCTCGAATCCCTTCAGTTCCGCCAGCGAGCCGTCGAAATTGAACACGGCGTATCTCTTCTTCAGCTTTCTGCCCTCCTCCTTGGCGGCTGGCAGCACCATCGCGAGGTACGGTCCGTCGACCTCGAAGAAGATCGAGTTCTCGCTGCGTATCTTGTAGCCTCGGTTGGCCGGATCGACGAGCTCGTGGTACTGATCGTTCGTGAACTGGTCCTTCACCATGAAGTTCAGCATGGCGTTGGGATAGGACACGACGAGCTTGCTCTTCTTCGGGTTCGTCGTCTTGACGATGAAGTTGTCGGGAAAAGAGCCTGGCAGGATGCACCAGATGCCGTCGGTGTCGAGTTCGAGCGGTCGGCCGACTTGCTCGACGATCTCTCGAGCCTTCATGATGATGTGGGCACCGGTGTAGCACACGATACCGCCCATCTCCATGCTGAACCAGCGCGAACCCTTGCGCATCACGTATCCATAAAATGAATTCAGAATGCACTTGTGGGCTAGCTGCAAGGAGTCGTAGAGAACCACGCGACTGTTGGCCGATTTCACGGCTGCCGCATCTTTGTTGGCCTTGGCCTGATCGAGCTGAGCCTTGGCTCTCTTCGTCAGGCCCTTGTACTCGTATCTTCGATCTCGGAACGCCCTGACGGTGTCGACGTAGAACGAGTTCTCGCGCTGACACACGGTCTGCGTTCTCTCCTCCGTCTTCGTCTCCTTCACCTTCTTGTACGTGCGCTTGCAGTAATCCGACAGTCGTTTCTTCTCGATCGCAGCTTGCTCCTGCTTGCTGAGCTCGTGGAAGGCCCGCTGTCTGCCGCCCGGCAGCAGCGGCGGAAATTTCTCCGTCTCGAGCTGCTGCTGGGTGCGCTGGTACTCGCCCGCAGTGGCCTTGAGGTACTCGCCTCGCCACATCCATTCCATGTTGCGCTGGCACTGGGCGCCAGGCTTGTTGTAGTCGCAGGCGGCGCAGGCCGACTCGTCGACCATGGCGTACGGTTGAAGACGATTCGTCAGGATGATGTTGGGGTACATGGCGCCGACGTCCAAATGATAGATGATGGGTTTCTCTGTTCTCAGCGGCTGGGCTCGCAACGCCGCGAGTTTCTCCTTGACCTCTTGCACGACCTCGTCGAAATTCGTCACCTCCGACATCGGTACTTTCTCCTCCTCCTCGATGGCGTGTCTCAGGGCGTTCTCGACGCCCTCCATAAGCTCGTCGACGGCGCTGGGTACGATCTTGAATTTGTACGGAATGTCAGCGCGGAAAACGCCCGATTCGAGGGCCTCGACGTGTCCACCGACGTATGTTTCCACGTCCAATAAATGCCCGTCTCGAGTGAATTTGGTCCACTCCGCTTCCTGTTTGTTGGGATAAATGACGTTTACTCGTTTGGCTTCGACCATGAGCAGCGATTCGCACAGAGTTCCCGAACCCTTGCGCAAAACTTCCTCTGGCTCCATGGGAATGATGGTGCACAGAGCGAATATGAACGGATGGACGTATTTGTGATAGAGATAGAATGTGGCCACGGCATCGGAGACCGAATAGTTGCACATCGTTTCTGGATCCTCCGCCGCGAGACGACACATGTCCTCGGGATCTGAAAAATTTCAGAATTCAATGCCGATGCATTTTACGATCGATGCCAAAGCTAATTTGGCGTTTTACCGATTTCAACCGGATCGTAGCGCAATTTCGCTTTGGAGACGGCTTTGAGACCTTGTGATCCTACGGGTAGATACGAATCTCTTTTTACCCAACACAAACAATCCAAGTGCATCGCTGCTCTACTCGTGTAAACGCCATCCTTGTTTTTGGCAAAACCAATTCGTTCTTTCATGTTGATATCGTGAATTGCTGCGCGAGCCTCAACGAACGGCCAATCGAAAAAATCGCCGTTGTATGTAACGAATATGTGAGGTTTTACTTCATTTATATGATTGAAAAATTTGTTTATTACAGCTTTTTCGTTTGGCTCATTCCAGACTGTGAAACGGCCTTCATATTCAGGTTTAGGTGTATACTCAAAATCGTCTACATCAGCTGATATGATTTCTCTGTTATTAATCAAATAGCCCTATTAACAGAATCAAGTATTAACTAATTGAATAAAATATTCAATTTAATATTTCAAAAAAGTTTACCTGTCCATCTAACATATAAGAGATCATCATAATTTGATCAATTGCAGCATCTGGAAATTTGAGAGGTAATTTTGTTGTTTCAATATCATAAGCAAGAACTACTGGTTCTGGAGGTTCAACAAGATCAGCTTTGGCAGAGATAATTGGTGGTGCAGTAGCTCCTAAAGTTCTGACATTGTACCACTTGCCAACAAAGATTTCTAAATCAATTGATACTCTTACATGATGGGGAACATCATGTTCTCTAAAAAAAACATGTACTTGAAAATGCAAGAAATACTTTTTCAAATGTTAATTTGAGTATCATTTACCTTATGTCAATGACATTATCCATTTGATCAATAATTTTCCTTTGATAGTGTTCTTGATTTTGAAATGTTTCTGCCAATAGCTTAGCATAATGAGTATTGCTTTTTTCTCGTTCTTTATTAACTTTCACAGCACTCATAATATCTCTTTTAACTTTTTGTAAATTAACAATATTTGTAAATGATAATTTCAAATAATCTCTTGTCAAACCGGCTAAATGATTGGGCTGCAATAATTGAAACAAGATATTTTAATGAGATTAAATATTTTTATATAATATATATTGTAATGTATAAAATTATTACCAAATCTAGATCTTCTTTAGAAACAATTTCTATTTTTAATAAAAATCCTGAAAATTTCTTTTGCATGTATGTTATTACTTCTTGATTGGTACCATCTCTACACAATACATAAAAGTATGGATTATATGGTAATGAAATTTTAAATCTTGAACCATCATCTTCAAGAAAAAACAAATCGACTCCAGAGAAAAGTTGTTTATCATCTTCAACGATTTCAGTCTAAATAAAAGAGTTATTTATGAATTTAAAGTTTTACATGTTGCATAAGTAGTAATGAATTTAAATTGATAGTAAACATTACTGTGTGCATATTTATAAGGAATCCGACTCTGTCTTTGACATCTGTAACTCTGTGAAATCCATAGAGACCTTCGCTATGATTGTTTTCTTTGACTTGATACAATCTACCCTCTGGAGTATTCTCCCTAAGCATAGAAATTTAAATATATTGACATAACTTCTATAAGTATATCACATCATAATCATGTCATTTATTCATAATTTTTTTAAAATAATGGAGTAAATTATCTAACCTCGGAATACCTCCATCCTGGTAATTGTAATCTTTACTCCCCCTATCTTTAGTATATTTTCCCGTGTTGACAGGCATGATGTTGACTAAAAGTTTGATCAATAATTAGTGTCAACACCTCACTTCATCATATTTGGCTTTAAATGAATATTAAAGTTTCAGCGCTCTAATGTCACACTTATTAACGTTGAAATTGCTAACAACTTTTCGCGCGAAATGTGACGGCTGAATCCCGAAACTGTGGCGCTTTCGCAGTATAAAGCGGCAACGCGCTTATTTCAAGTTTAATTTCTATAAGTGAATGAAAAGGTTAATGAAATAATGTAGGCACATTTATAAATAGTGATAATTTTTTTCTTAAAAAAATACGGTCGTTTTATTTACAAAAGAATAAAATAAATAAAATAACAATTAGGCTATCTCTTCTAACTCGCTTAAAAATGTTTTACACTTCTCCTTCAAAACTTCAACAGCTTCAATAAATATGGTGGAAGAGGGCAATGCTCCAACCGATTCAACAGTAACTGTAACATAATTATTTTAAAATGTTATCAAATAATGAATAAATTAATTAATTAAATATTTATGAATTGAATACTAACAAATGAAGTGATCAGCGACCCTTGATAGCTTAATGCAATCCTTCAAATCATCGTGTCTGAAAAAGTTTCTGGAGCAACTTTCATATCTAGCATCTTTTACTACTGCTTTTTTAATTCCCTGAGAAACTTTTACATCAATAACTCCAGGACTAAAACATGATTGCAGTCTTTCAGCAGCCTCTCCTGTAACTTCCTTGACTATCTCTATGTCAGGTAAAAGTCTGTACGCAGCAGTTGCTAAAAAATAAATTCAATCATTTAATTTTAAGCTTAAAGCTTTAGAAAATTTTTATGTTTGACAATGGAAATTTTTATAACTCTTACCAACTGGTGAGAATTTAGCATGATCTTTGCCTATTCCTTTAACAGCATATAATTGTGCGTGGATTTCATGCCCTGGTCTCATTTTAGCAATTAAAATATCATCATGAATTGGACCAAACTTCTTTGCTCCATCAGGATGTAGCAAATGTTGCTCTCCAAGTGGTACCCATTTGATGTCACTGCTGTAAACTTTTATCAAAGTAATTAGTCTCTTAATATCAATAAAATAGAATAAAATAGAATAAAATAGATGATAAAATAGATAGAATAGGAAAAATTTAATATTAGCAGGTGCTTACCATTGTGATGTAAGTAAATGTCACTTGGTCTTCTTGCGTCTTTGGGAGCTTGTGGATTTCTTTTACAAGTAACTTTTAATTCAAAGCTCAAAGTAGATTGTTGATCAACTTCGTCTTGCTTCCATTCGCCAGCAGGCCATTCAAGTAACTTAGGATGAGCTTTTAATGGTATCAAACCCAATCTATAAAATTATTGATTATATTAAGTAAAATTTTTCTATATTCTAAAATCAAATAAAGTTATTTCCTTTTTACCTATGAGAAAGTACTTCATCCTGTATGATGCTGGTGTTATTAAACATATACACTTTTTCTATTGCTATTGTTGGCACTTCGCTGAGGAGTATTCTCCTAAAAGCATTGGCCAAAGCAGCATTACACCCAATCAAATCAAACTCCAATTCGAATTTATCAGGAGTTTCTCTGACAATTTTAACAGAAAAACCCTAAAATGTTGATTGATTTAGTTTTAATTGAAATGATTCAACGGTATATTTTAAAAAAATTTAAATTTCAAGTACCTTTTTAAACTTTTCAAATGACCATACAGACGATCCATCGAGAAGGTTAGCAAATTCGAAAGTCTGAAATAAATGAAAATTAACGAATTAAATCAATTTTGTCTATAACTGTATTTGTAAAATATTTGAAGGTATTATTTACATTGGGAATGCCGTGTTCTCTCATGAGAATTTTACGATCTTTTTTGCTATTTTTTTCCATTTTGACAGATTTGTTAACCGGCTCACACGTGTTCTTTGTAACCTCGAAAAACACCAACACTCAGAGCAGACGAGAACAACGAACACTGAGTGAATGATGCTAGCAGCAAAGATGTCATACAACGTGCTCTCGATTTGAAACGCCGATCACGATCGATGCTCGCAAGAGGGAGTGAGATAGAAACATTGTTGGCGGCGCACATGATCGACCACATATTTAATTTCATATATTTTTTCTCACTTTTTCGTATTTCTGTCAAATTCGAGCCGTTTTCGGAAAAGTGACAACTATGCCGAAAGATTTGGGGTAACAGTACGGTTTTTTGGTGAGTGCCACTTATCCAAACACTGAATTTAAAGCATGGGTATTATTAGCCTCAAGAGATTTCAATTATAAGGCGATAATAATTATAATATTAACAATAAAATTAATAATTACGATGTACTTTCAATGAAATGAAAACTCATGGTTTTAATTAATTATAAAATAATTATTTTTATTGAGTCTTTCAAAAAGTGCGTTTTATGCTTTTTTAATTTGAAATTAAAAAAGCATTTGTAAAATATTTTATGTTACATTGTTTCATTTCAAATTCAACATGAATAAAATTGTATCTAATCATTTAGTAACTACGACCAAACAGAGTATAAAACTTTGGTGTCTCAGAGCAGCTGTTGTGAATGCATTTCAAAGATTTGATGTTTTCCGCAGATCCATCAGGTTGATTGAATGGTATACACAATCCTTTAGCGCCCATAGCTGGAGCACCGTCGTCAGCTTCATCGGATCTGGATTTAGAAAATTTTTTATGAGAAAAAAACGTATGCTATATTTTTGAAGTATAAGAAGTTGATTTTTTAAAGTACCTTGCACTGTCAGCCTTTATCTTTTCTTCACATTCTATTCTACCACAGAATGGAGCAAGAATGACATTCTTTTCGTCAAGGTAGCTACAGAATTCATTCCAGTCATGGGTTTGCTTTGTGTGCTGTTTCAAATCCATTTTTGCTCTATAAAAAATATATTCATTAGTAGTGCTGCATTTTACAAAGAAAAACTACAGTTATGCAAAACAAAATGTACTTTTCAAACAAGCTCATTTGAATATCATCCAGCAATTTCAAAAGCATGGAATAAGCTTCACTCCTCTTAGCAGTTGTTCGTTCAGCTGTATCTCTTCTAACAAAGGTTACTTGTCCCTTTTCCAAGTCTTTAGGTCCCAATTCAATTCTGACTGGTACACCCTTGAGCTCCCAGTGATTGAATTTCCAGCCAGGACTGTAATTGTCTCTGTAGTCACCCTTTATTCTCATCACGTCATCTTTTTTGAGTTCGTTTTCTAATATATTGCACTCAGACATGAGTTTGTTTTTCTGCTCTTCGGTTGTAGAGGCAGTTATACCGCAAGGAACAATTACCGCTTGAATGCTAGCTACTTTAGGAGGAAGAACAAGACCTTTGTCATCTCCGTGAACCTTGAAAAAAAGTTAAGATTAGCGGATATGATTCATAATTTTGATAAGTTAAACTTACCATAATCATAACTCCAATCGTTCGTGTTGTAAGACCCCAAGAGTTCTGATACACGAATATCTTTTCGCTACCCTCTTGAGTACCTTCGACCTGAATGTCAAACATTTTCGAGAAGTTTTGACCCAAGTGATGACTCGTACCGCCTTGAATTGCACGTCCACTTGCCGATATAAATGCTTCGACCGTTGTGGTGTAGTCACCACCAGCGAATTTTTCTTTTTCAGTCTTGCGACCCTTGACTACGGGTATGGCCAAGTATTCCTCGTAAATACGCGCGTACAAATCTAAAATTTGTAGCACCTCCTCGTCAGCCTCGGCTTTAGTCGCAAACGCTGTGTGACCTTCTTGCCATAAGAACTCCCTCGTGCGCAGGAATGGTTGAGGATGTTTGAATTCCCATCTCTGAAGAAACAGAAATTTTCATTAATTTATATTATGAATTTTTTCTAATTGAAAAGAATCGTATTCACTTACCACAACATTGTTCCACTGGTTAAGTTTGAGTGGCAGATCTCTGTGCGATTTAAGCCATTTGGCATAAGCGGGGTACATGACGGTTTCAGAGGTCGGACGGATGGCAATGTGTTCGGCCAGATCGGATTCGCCGCTCTTGGTGACCCAGGCAACTTCTGGAGCAAAATCGGCTATGTGAGTCTTCTCTTTTTCCAGTACGGTTTTACTGACGAAAATTGGGAAGTAGCAGTTTTGTACTCCAAGTTTCTTGATTTCCCGATCGAAGAAATCCTTTATGACGTCCCAAATGGCGTAACTCCATGGTCTGAGGATGTAACAACCAGAAACGTCGTAGTACTCGATCATTTCACCTTTGGTAATGACTTGTGAATACCAATCTGGCAAGTTTTCAAGTTTCTTCGCCTCCAAGCCAAGCCTCGTTCCAGTTTTGCTAACTTCTTCTTTCACTTCAGCTTTTTTGTTGGCCTTAGCTTTTTTCTTCGACTGTTCAGCTTCCTTCTTTGGAGCTTCACTCTTAGCTGGAGCTTGGGCAGACGAAGAAGATGCTGTGCTTGGTTTCCAATCTTGACCAGTAGCTGATTTGTATTCAGCCTTGAGGCTCAGAAGAGTTTTTACTTCCGCGTCGATTTCAGCTTTTCCGGCTTTAGCTGCTTTGAGGTCGCGAACCTTATTACCTTGGGCAACGATTTTATCATTGATGGTAGCAGCAGGTCCATTACCAGATGATGCTGGCTCACTCTTTGGAGCAGCTTCTACTTTAGTATCCGCAGGAGCTACAGTGCCTGGTTTCCAATCTTGACCCGTAGCTGACTTATATTCAGCCTTGAGACTCAGAAGAGTTTTTACTTCCGCGTCGATTTCAGCTTTTCCTGCTTTAGCTGCTTTGAGGTCGCGTACCTTATTACCTTGGGCAACAATTTTGTCATTGATGGCAGCAGCAGATCCACCAGTAGAGGGTGCTGGCTCACTCTTTGGAGCCGCTTCGACTTTAGGGGCAGCTGTAGGAGCCATACCTGGTTTCCAATCTTGTCCAGTGGCTGCTCTATATTCTGCTTTCAGGTTCAAAAGAGTTTTGACTTCAGCGTCGATTTCGGCTTTTCCTGCTTTGGCAGCTTTCAAGTCTCGCACTTTGTTGCCCTGAGCTACAATCTTTTCATTGATGGCAGCAGCTGATCCACTTGCTGAAGAAGCAGGCTCACTTTTGGGAGCAACTTCTACTTTAGGGGTAGCTGGTGGTACTGCGCCAGGCTTCCAATCTTGACCAGTAGCTGATTTGTATTCAGCTTTCAGGCTCAAAAGAGTCTTGACTTCGGTGTCGATTTCGGCTTTTCCTGCTTTGGCAGCTTTTAAGTCTCTTACTTTATTGCCTTGAGCCACAATCTTTTCATTGATAGCAGCAGCTGATCCACTACCTGACGAAATGCTTGTAGCAGTCTCAATTTTAGGAGCAGATGCCGGTGGTACTGTGCCAGGTTTCCAGTCTTGGCCAGTAGCCGATTTGTAATCAGCTTTGAGACTCAGAAGAGTTTTGACAGCAGCGTCAATTTCAGGTTTGGCAGCTTTAGCGGATTTCAAATCTCTGACTTTATTGCCTTGAGCTACAATTTTTTCGTTTATTTCAGCCGCTGAACCACCACCTGATGATGTGCTTTTAGCAACCTCGACTTTAGGAGCAGCTGCAGGTGGTACTGTGCCAGGCTTCCAGTCTTGGCCAGTAGCCGATTTGTAATCAGCTTTGAGGCTAAGAAGGGTTTTGACTGCGGCGTCAATTTCAGGTTTGGCGGCTTTAGCGGATTTCAAATCTCTGACTTTATTGCCTTGAGCTACAATTTTTTCGTTTATTTCAGCCGCTGAACCATCACCTGATGATGTGCTTTTAGCAACCTCGACTTTAGGAGCAGCTGCAGGTGGTACTGTGCCAGGCTTCCAGTCTTGGCCAGTAGCCGATTTGTAATCAGCTTCCAGACTAAGAAGAGTTTTGACGGCAGCGTCAATTTCAGGTTTGGCCGCTTTGGCAGATTTCAAATCTCTGACTTTGTTACCTTGCGCGATTATCGATTCATTCAGAGCAGCGGCGTTTGGTTTGTCGCTTACAACCTGTAATTCAAATTAAAAATAGATGTGAATGTTTTATTACAATAATATAAATATCAATGTTTCTTAAAATACTTACAGCACTTGTCGCGGCAGCAGGTGGTGCATTGGCATTGTAATCTTGTCCAGTAACGGATTTAAACTGGGCTTTTAAAGCCAACAATTCCTTTACAGCTGCGTCAATTTCAGCCTTGGCAGCTTTAGCAGTTTTGAGATCTCTGACCTTGTTACCTTGAGCAGTAACTTGGCTATGTAACTCAACAGCTGATTTTGTTGATGAAGAGCTCTGTTAAATAAGTAAAAATTTATTTTTAGTTAAAGAAAATATTTTACACGGATTAAAAATAAATTTGCTTGTGTACGTGTATGGCGCGCGTAATGTGAATGTACGATAAAAGTCCCTGATTTTTGGCGAAAGGAGAAAGGTCATTCAAAATTCAACGCGAATGTAGGTGAGACAGAGTGGGAGAACTCCCAATCACTCCTGCCCCACTTTCTCTTTCATTGTATAATCATAAGCATGTAATCAATCAAGTTATTTCAAAACGCTTAAATTTTAGTAAGATTTTGAAAAATTACCTCTTTAGACTTTTTAGAGTCTTTGGCGGAGGCTTTGTCGACTGCAGCTGATGCAGTGCCGGAGCTGCGCCCATCAGGTATGTGGAACAATATTAGTGGTTGTACCCTGTTAGAGTAAGGGCTTGGACCTCCATAAGGTACATCACACCTGAAGAAACCTTTTCTTTGAAGCTCGATAATTTCTCCCTGTTTCACGCGTCGAAGTTCGGGCTCACCGACCATTTCGACTTCTCTCTGTAAAATTCGAAAAATATTTTTAATATTTAGAAAAAATTTTACGTGACCATACGCACAAGAATATTTACCCTAGTATCTTTGGCGATGAAATCTTTGAAGTCATCGTCCTTTGCTAATACTGGTTTCGTTATGATGTGTTCGAAGTAGACGGTGTAACAGGGTATCGTCGTAGATTCAGGTTTTTTATAAACATCCGTAGGCTCATCGGCGATGATCCACGTTAATTTGACGGTGTTTTTGAAATCTTTGTTATCAAGATTTAGAGAAGCGTTAACAGAGACAATTTTGTCATTTTCTTTGTTAATCTTTTCAATCATTAGATTTCCCCAGTTGATAAATGTAGCATTGCTGCCTTCTTTAAGTTCTAGTGCATCTTTGGCTTCGATTAAGATTTGTGGGCCAATTCGCACTTGTTTGGTTCCTTTTGATGGGTCTTTGGGATGATTGTTAACAGTGAGGACACCTGCCTCAGCTCCTTTTACGTTTACTACTACCGTTTCGCCGGCTGTTAAGGCAGTATACCTAAATGCAACTGGATCGATCACTTTTTTGTTGAATGCCCAAATTTTATCCCATTCCATAAATACTACCGATCTCGAACTGCCTTGGGCGATGATGAATTGTTTTAAACCCTCGACCGTCATACCCCGACGCAAAATACCTCGCACAGTTGGGAATCGTGGATCATCCCAACCATCAACTAAACCTTCAGCCACGAACCAAGTCAATTTACGCTTTGATAAGACGGTGTTGGTCATATTCAAACGAGAATATTCATAAATGTGAGGACGGTTAAGACCAAGATGTTCGATGAACCAGTAAAATTGTTCGTCCCGATCATGGTACTCAGTTGTTCGCAACGTGTGCGTAACATTTTCTACTGCGTCGACGATGGGGCACGCAAAATCGTAAGTTGGGTAAACCCTTAAAGAATTATTGCTTTATTAAAGAAAAGCTTGTTAAAAATAAATGAATAAAGGACAAGACGTTACTTGTATTTGGTGCCAGTCCTTGGGTGAGGTTCTGGTTTACATCTGTAGATGGTTGGATCACGCATGCAACCATTGGCAGATTCGTGGTCAATTTTGGCTCTCACACAGCATTCTTGACCTTTTGGTGAACCCTTGACCATTTCTTTCCACATCTCTAAATTTTTCTCAATAGCTAGATAATTGGAAATAATGAATAAGTAATACAATTTTGAACAAAATTTAATTGAATAGAAATTTCAACTCACAGTTATTTCTATTTGCTGATGGTAACTTTTGATCACGGAGCTCTTTCATCTCTGCTGCTGGAGTATTATCAACATAAGCTTTACCTGCCTTCAATAATTTTTCACAGTATTCTAACATCAGATCAAAGTAATCAGATGAATGAGTAAATCTATCTGGCTTAATTTCAAGCATTTTAAGATCTTCTAAAATGGCTTGTTCAAACTCAACATTTTCCTTAGCAGGATTTGTATCATCAAATCTCATGATAAGCTGACCTTGGAAAGTCTGAGCATAATACTGATTTAGAAGAGCTGCTTTAGCGTGACCAATGTGCAAGTATCCACTAGCTTCTGGAGGAAAACGTACAATAACTTTTCCCATTTCTGCACCAGGCAGTTCAACAAATTTGGCTTGCTCTTTGTTGGAAGACTTAGCATTCTTTTGAGCTTCAGCTCTACTTTTGCCACCTACTCTTACTACAGGCTTAGATTTTGGTTTTGCACCAGGCAGTGAACTCAAGCATTTTTCAACTTCAGGCATAGAGGCTATCAGTTTGTACCATCTAGCAATATTAGGGTATTTTTCTGTAAGCGTATCAATGTCAAATTCGCTGTGAATTTTTGAAAACATACAGATGTCAGCAATAGTGAATTTTTTAGCTACTAGCCAGGTTCTGGTTGCAAGAGCTTTTTCCAAGTATGCCAATGCTTTTTCAGAATTATATGCATTATTATAGGGTTTTTCAGCATACATAAGCCAGTGATCAACTTCAGTGGTTTCAAAAGGATCTTGGCAAGCTGTAATTTAAATTTTCATTATTGTTCTGCACTCATAAAAAATCTTATTTCGTTTGAAGAATAAGTTAAATTTACCATAAAGTTCAGGAGCCTTTGATCTGGCTAAGTATCGAGCAACATCACAACTTCTATTTCCCAAATCAGAACCGTCATTGGCAATGAATTTTAACTTCTCGTTTGGTGCAAAATCTTTGGAGAAAGTGACTTCGACACTTCCAGCTAACTTCGATGCCAATAATTCCAAAGTAATAAGAGCTCCTGCAATATTGAATTTATTTTCATTTATAAAAATTCATAAAACAATTACGTTAACTTTGCACAATAATTGAAGATGATGTTTTCATACATCAAAAACAATTGAATGGAATTCATTGTTTATAATAACGTAATAATAATAGCCACATATTGCACTATAAGAATCAAAGAATATCGAGATAAATGTACTAACCTACTGGACGATTAGTTTCATTGATGATGATTTTCACCATTTTGGCAGAGAGATATCCTCTCGGACGATAATAAAATATTTACTATTTACTATCACCCAAAAAAACACAGATATCGAGTTTTGCCGAACCGTAGGTTAGAACTTGTGTCGAATTCTTCGAGCACACGTTGTTTCCTTTTCCAGTATTTTAAGTATCGTATACCGTATTGCACCGCACAGCAGAGCCGAGACGGGTTTATTCACCCAATTCGCCGCTATTCTTGAAACATGCGGCGCTTAAATCTGACGTCATTCGTGGAGAGATTCGTTGAATATTTGACAGTAAGAGGACCCCACTAAAACGTGCATGAAGAGCAGTCGAGTGCTGTCATAAGACCGAACGTAGAAAACTCGGATTGCGAAAAGCCCCGCACATCGTGCGAAGCAAGTCCAGCGCGAGCGTCGACTGCTTCGCTGCAGGTGCAGCAAATTGCAGACAGACGATCGGGGCTGCACAGAGTAGGGCTCTCGAGAGCTTTTGTAATATTTGTTACACCGACCATCGTGTGCCCCAGTGATTACGTTACGTGCTAAAATCGTGCGTTATGCAAGTGTATAAGGGGATCACGGCGTCGCTAGTACTGTTTTGTGCAGTTGCACTTCTGCACTGCACGGGGTGATATTATAGATCATGCGCAGAGCTGAGCTTGCAAGTTACGTGTGTACGTAATATAAACCCTCGTCGCTCGGCGTTCTGCTCTCGAAATAAGGGTGTATTATAGAGGCGGTCGTATCATTTGTACTACGATATGTAGGTGGACGTACGCGTACTACAATTTCTTAGCGTTGCATATAGCTTTCCAACCATAGCAGATCTATATTGCCGTAGAGCTATAAGCACTTGTCAAGCTTGCGTCTACTGCAGCGGCGTGTGTATGTACACACCTTATAAAAAGCTTAGCCGTGAATTGGTCGATAGAACATATATACGTTTCGAAGAACTTGAAGTAATTATTTGATTTAGAGCTGAAAATCTACCGAAGGTGACATTTGCTATAGCTCCAAGTGTACGGAGAGCCGATGCAATACCTGACTCACAGCACTGTCGTACCTGCTAGCTCGTATGTACACAAGACATTTATTGCCGGTGTCGCGTAGAATGTAATAGCGCAATTGCAATGTTTTTAGCATAAAAAAAAGGGATTACATTGCACTTGTGCCCTCGTGATATCGCAGTTTTATAGTCCACAGGCACGCGCATACTACACGAAAGCCGCTGCTCGACGGCACATTATATACTGTGTTGCTTTTCTTATCTTGAGAGGAGGCGAGCGAAATATGCAAGTGCATGTGTGAGCGATCACCGAGTGCAATTACAAATCCAAAGATTATTTGCTAGAATATACTCGATATGTACCGACACGTATCCACGTAGGACGCGTAACACGTATTGCCTAGTCAAGAGTAAGAGAGAGGCCACAAGATGCTTCATCGATATTTGCTCAGTATTATATACACCGCGACAGGCCGCAACACTCGCGAGTGGCCGTTTTATTTGATCTAAGCTATAAGCTTTGAAAATTATTCAGGCAGGAGCGTACACGAATAGATTTATGAATGTGCGAGAAACCAACGTTGTCGAGGTCAGCTGTTATTGAATTAAGAAGTCATTTTACATGTGAATTTTCTCAAAAACACACACCGCATTTGCATAATAATAGTGATGAGGCTTGGCAGAGAGTACGTCAAGATATCTTGCCAGTGTGTTATTACTTTTAGTCGATAAAGGATGCAAAGGATAGTATCCATTTGAGCAACAGTATTTTCTTTGTTTATTGATCAGCAATAGAAAACAAACATGAAGGAAGAAAATGAAAAGTTCACGGATGTGCTTACAGAAAGGAGGAAAACTTATGATTTCCTTTGGGCATCAAGAAGCTTGCAGCTTCAACCAGCTTATAAAAGGTCTGGTGGTTGGATATACTCCAGAAAAGAAATTATCGACCATGTTTTGGAGAATCAAAATGTAGAACTTGCCCTTAACGTTATGGCACGTCAAAAGAATGTTCCATTGACTGTTGTTCAAAATGAAGCTCGACTAATTATTGAAGAAATAGCTGGAAAAATGCATATGCCAACAGTCAGATGGCTAGGTGAGTAAATGTCTTTTATGAATTAATTAAGCAGTAAACTTTATTTTAATTGATGATTGATCATTTTTGTTTCAATTTATTTACCTTACAGCTCTTATACTATCAAAAATATTGAAAAGGATACTAGTTAGTATTAGATTGAACGACGATATGCTTATTCATGTAAAGAATGAAATGCGCAAGAATGTTTCACAGTTTGTTTTTGTGCCTACCCATAGAAGTTACATGGATTTCATTTTGTTATCATATTTATTTTTTACCTACGACATGACAATACCCAATATTGCTAGTGGAATGGATTTTTACCACATGAAATATGTTGGAGAAATGTTGAGGAAATTAGGTGCTTTTTATATGAGAAGGACTTTTTCCAATGATCCATTTTACAAGCATATATTTAAAGCTTATATTAGTACATTAGTCGCACACAGTGACAGAGCCATAGAATTTTTTATTGAAGGAACAAGGAGTCGTAGTCAAAAGACATTAACTCCTAAATATGGTAAGTTCTCAATATTTCTATATTCTACTTTTCAACACGTATTTTTATCTTTGCACTCTTCTTCTGATAAAATAAATGATTGTTGTTATACTGACAGCTTTGTAATCTGGAGATAAGATAAAATGATTTTTGACTTATTTCAATATCTTATTAAAATATTACGACAATTGAGAATGATTCTAGCTTTTATGTCAAATGAATTTTTATAAATTTAATTATTGAATTTGAATTTTTAGGTTTATTGTCTATGATTTTGGAATCTTTGTATCTCAGTCAAGTGCCAGAAATAACATTTATTCCTGTCAGCATTTCATATGACAAGCCATTAGAAGAGCGTTTATTTGCCTATGAGCTTTTAGGAGTTCCAAAACCTCCAGAAACTACTTCTGGGCTATTTCGTTCATTGTCAATACTTAAAGAACCTCTTGCTTATGGAAATGTATTTTTCAAATTTGGAACACCAATAAGAGCTGGTGATTACATTACTCATCAAGTGAGGTTTGAAAATGTTTGCAGACCAGAAAAAAAGTTACCACACGAAATCACTACAAAATTGGCTTATGATATTATTGAATGCCATAAACAAAATACCATCTTATTGCCATTTAATCTTGTTGCATTGTTATTCAATAACAGAGTATATACAAATCCAAAAGATTTTTATTCTGTGGATAATTTAATTCTTGATTATAAGTGGCTGAAACAAATTTTAATAGAAAAATTTCAAATTAATTTTAATCCTACAGCTGTAAAGTAAGTTCAAAAGAAAATATCTCTCATAATTTACCAAATTTTTAATAAAAATAAAAATAAATTTTGTTTTAGTGCACCTACACCTGAAAGTATGAAAGAAGATATTGACAAATATGAAGTATTAAATTCTTTACAAAATCATAAAGACTTACTAGGAATTGATTCAGATCAAAATATAAAAATTAAAGATAGACACATTGGAGGTATTCAATCAAAAAGTATTAAAGGATACTCATTGAAAGAAACAACTTTGAAATTAGCTATACCAGTAATCAATATAATGATATACGTCAATCCTGTTTTTGCATATTTAAGTAGACCAGCAATGGCAGCGTTTTGTATACTAACATCTCAAAAAGGTACAATTTTCTTATATCATTAGTCATATGAAATTACTATTTTAAAAAGAGAGTCATAAAAAAGATGTAATTGAACTTTTTTTTTCAGATTTAGTATTGAAAAATTATATAATGTTGAGATCTCTTTTGAGTGGAGAATTTGCTTTGCCCACAAATTTAAATGAATCGGACATACAAAAAGAAGGAGAGATGATGACTGAATTTTTATCTCAAGATATTTATATACAACCTTTTGATGAAAATGCTATTGATAACAAAAATCGATTAAATTTAATTTTGAGTATTTTAATCTTGCCATTTGTAGGATGTTTACAAAATATTTGTAAAGTTTTGATAGAGGTGAGTTATTGCCTTTTTAAAAATTAATATTATTTTTGGAAAACTAAATGGTTTATTTTATTAATTTTTAGTGGTGTAATGTGCATAACTTATTACAAAAAACCATCGTGATAGAATGCCAAAAATTAATGGAAGAATCGTTGTATCATGCAACTGAATTAAGTAGACATCCGTACACTCTTGCTTTGGATGTTTATCCAGCTATATTATCTAGTCTTGTTAAGTGTGGACACGTTACCCTTGATGAAAATCAGTTTTACAAACCAAACAAAGAAAATCTAGTATCAATTGTTGTTGAGCTAGATAATATGTTAGGACAATGTTCGAACGGATCATATTTGAATGCTTTTCCCTCACTCATTCCAGAGGAGATTTTAAATCTCCAGGCTAAACTGTAATTACCCTAGTTTCATTCTCTAAGTCATGTTCATTTATTGTATCTTATAAATTGCAATAAATTTTTATTGTTACATAAATATTAAAAATCTGTCTTTTTATTTTTATTTATTTCACAATTTTAAAATAGCACTTTGTTCGATCGATAAAACAGTGTCAAATTTTGAAATATAGAGACCGTCGACCGGCCGGGTTCTCAAACTCTCAGTAGTCGTCTATATTTACGTATCGCGCGCGAACAAAGAGCAAAACAACAGAAAAAAGTACATTCTCAGTCATTCTTCACGCATTCTCAAATTAATTGTTGCTTACAAGTGATCAAGGTCAAGTTCTTTGAAGAATTAAGAATTTTTTATTAATCCCTTAGGGGTTTATTCAAAAAAACGTAGTTGGACACGTAATCGGCATAATCATTCTTTATTTATAACAGTTTTGTGTTAAAAATTTTTGGCAAGATGAGACGTAGCGCATGCTGCTGCATATGTTCCTTATTTGTCGCTGTTTTGATAGTTTTCGGGACTTTTTACGCCTATTCTTTAATTGATTCTGCAATAGGTTTGTACAAATAATGATTCAAATAAGTAGAATGAAAGATAAACTTCGCTCTTTGCTTTACACATAAAATCTTTATTGTTTTTTTTTTGCAGCCGGTCATAAAGATTGTGAATGCATCAATTATGATTGTGGTTGTTGTGCTCATGTGCACGTAAGTGATATACTTGATGGGAATTGTAAGTATAGGCTGTATAAATTGATTTATAAATAATAACATTTGACAACATTAAATATTGATAATTATTAACCAAAATTTTTTTTTCAAGTATGTTCTAACTTCACATATTTACCTGATCCTGACTATGGTATTTCTACAACGATAACTTATAATAATCTAACTATATTCAATAAGACTGTATCAGGTATTAATTTCAATCATTATATTGAATTATATTTTAATTCTTTACTAATACATTTATAATATTTTAGCAAGAAATCCACCACCAATTTGTGTAATCCATGTAGAGAAAATTGAAATGGAATTTTGCCTTCGTTTTGAAGACTTGGAAATAAAAGATAAGTGTTTTACTGGACATACAGAAGTTGAAATAGAATTCTTCCATGTCGTACCACTAAAACATATAGATCTAGGACATTTTGCAATTAATTGTCCTAAACCCCTTGCTTGGTATACAAAATTATGGAATTTAGTTAACGTTCCTATTTAAAAATAGTGTATGAGTATTGGGATTATAACAGATAGAGGTATTCATTCGATTTTTTGTTACTTAATTGTTTTCTGATATACTATGTTTTTATAATTAAGAAAGAAATGACAATTTTATTAGGCATCTTCTTCAAATGATGTAAATGCAATAAACTATGCGATTGCATTTGAAAGCTGGACAGATGTTGATTTTAAATAGACACTGAACTTCACTAAGGTGTATTGATGTATCTTCAAAAATTTTCTAATTCAGCATTCCAATAAGCATACGTTTTCGTTCTCCTTCAACATCACTCTGCAAAAAGTTCGATAAACAATCGTACTAACTAATTTCATTATTGTATTCAAAAATTAGTACTAATAGACAAAAAAAATTAAGGTCAATTTTTTGTTTAAATTGGCGAATTTATTAATGATATGACAAAAATATTATAAACGTATTATAAAAATACTTGTGCAGTTTTATGCGAGCAGATTGTAAATTAATTGAAATGTTTGGATGATTCGTGTTCTTCATAAAATTAGAATTAATTCAATAGCGCAATCAGAAGTCGTTTCAATTCACCACCGCAATCGCTCTGCAAAAATATTAGAAAATACAATTTCAGTGTTTTTAATCGTTATTTGACAATATTCTCTGGATTGATTATGTTTATCCAGCAATAAGTTAGATTAAATATTTATAAACCATTTCGTTAAAAAAAGCGTACCCAAATTGATCTTAAACGCATTTACTCCGAAAAAGTATAATTATTAATACTAAAAAAGCGAGTTTAATTTTAGTTAAATTTTTCTAATACCAAATATCAACGTTAATGAACAGATTTAACTTATAAAGTACAAATGAATAGGTATTTTTCTATGCTGTTGACAAATAATTATTTATAAATGAATATTTTTAATAAAAATTTTGTTGAAAAATAGAAAAATAATACGTAAAATTATTTGAATTTGTCCTTTCTACTTTTTATTTCGTCTATACAATCCTAGCAGTCTTCTTGATCTTACACAAAATACAACAGAATACATTTTCAACCGATTACATGCAAATAATACGGCGCACGAACGCATGAAATTTTTTCACGAGATACAAATCGTTAATCGCAATTATACAACGGAAAATCGTTACAAGTATGCGTAAGAGAAAAATAAGAGAAAATAATCCAATAACCATTTATATAGGCGGTCATGCTTTATAAATTGTCAAAGTTCAACTTTGACTTACACAGAATATTTATTTAATGTATGAATAAAATAAATATAGAATTAGAGGCGATGTAAAACGGTTATAACAAACAATAAAGTATAAGCAGATCTACGTGCGGCATGTATATTACACTTATATATTTATGATTCGTGGCCAATCAAAGTAAGCAATAGTCTCTTGTAGTCTCCCGAACAGTCGCTCTGAAAGTATGCATTAATTCGTAAAGGTGATTAATCACGAATGACGTGATACGATATATTGAGAAAAATTAAAAGTGAATCAAGTTAGGATAGAAAAAAAAGGAATGAATAAAGTTCGAGAAGATGAGGGAAAAAAAAATTTAATATGAATAGTGTAACTCACATCGATATCGGCAGCCAGCTGCGTTCCGTATTTTTGCTCGTAAGCCTCCTTGATGTCGCCCAAATCGATTTCCGAGCGAGCGATGATGATGCGCATGAGGGTCTTGTCGTCGGTGCCCATGCCCTTCATCGCGTGCTTCAATCTCTTGGCGAAGTACGTCGTCTTGTCGCGAGCGCATCTCACTGTTCGACAATATTTTTCAATTTTCTTTTTCTTTTCCTTTCAGAAATCGATATTCTTGTTCTTATGATAAGTTATATACGGACCAACGGCGAGATAGCCGGACTCCAAGTGTCCGGAGAACTCGCTCTTGACGGCGTCCTCGATACTGTTGCCGGTCAGCCGCTCGTACTCCTCGAAGATCCGCCTGAGGTGGGGGAAGCTCTTGGTGATGAGGATGGCGTTGAAGGTGCTCTCGTCGGTGCCCCAGCAGCCCTCGCCTGCCTCGATGAGGCGCTCGGCGTCGGCCGTCGCGGCCGCGGGATCGACGTCCGGGTCCTCGTTGCGACTGGCGCAGCACAGCGAGACCAGCAGCCGCTGGAAGTGGCCGGAAGTGTCGCCCTTGATGTCGCTCTCGAGATCGTTGCCGTACACTGCAGAGACACGCGTCATAAAGTAAATCCAACATTTTAACAATAACAGTTTAATTATCAAGCTTATAACTCACGATCTTTGTAGACGGCCGAGATGGTCTTGATGCCGTAATTACTGAGCGAGGCGAGGATCTCGATGATGGTCTCCTCGTCGGTGCCCGCGCCGCTGATGGCGTCGTGCAGCTCCTTGGCGTAGAACTGGGGCAGGGGCGTCATCAGGCCCAGCACGGCGTTCTCGAAGTCACCCCCGAGCTCGGACTTGAGCTCGCTCACGAGGTCCTTGCCGTACATGGTCTTGAACTTGTCGGCGATCTCGAGTCGCTGGACGACTCCGCGATGGGCGAGGACGTCGATGATGGTGCGCTCGTCGGTGCCCATGCCCTTCATGGCCTTGCGCAGAAGCTCCGCGTCGAGCTCGGGCTCGAAGGGATCGGCCGGATAGACCGTCGGCGTGCACTGCGCAGAAAAAGATTGGAAGATGAGGATCGATCGTTTAACGATGAGTCGGACAGGTAATTGCAAGGAATTATGCATTAGATTATGGAGCTGGAGATCGTTAAATCTCGACAAATGTTACAGCTCACGGCCCGCGAGATATTTGGATCCTCGCACAGAAAACCGAATTATTTCGACGCGGTATCTAATTGCTACATAACGATGCGCGAGCTTTGCAACGTAGTCGCTTCGAAGAAATGCTCATAAAAGTCCATTAAACGAACGCGGCCGAGGTCGCGTCTATGTGCAAGTATATCAACTTTATACAAATAGCTGCACTTACCGCGCGCGGAGCTCGTATGGCATTTAAATGGAAAAAAGAGAGAAAGGAAAAACATCGATTCGATGCTTTGGATTCACCCAGTGAGATAATATCAGATACGATGATATTGGCGATCGCGAGCGCTGTGGGAATGCATACATAATACATAATGCATCGGGTGACACACGCATTACGAAAAAGCTAATTATTAATTTATATCCATAGTAGGTACGTGCGTACGTAGCGTCGCGCACGGATATTTTTAACGTCGTGATTAAATAGACGAGGTAGATTACGAATCGTCAGCGCTTCAATTTTTGATATTCGTTGCACGAAAACAATTTTTTTTTCATCGATTAGAAGTTTGAATTATCGAAACGGAATACATGTTATATATTGTGGCGACCTCGACGCTCCTCTTTCTTCCTTTCACACTAGACAGGATATATGTTTGTGTATTATAGATGTGCTGCAGGCAGGATCGATTCTTAATTTCGCTATTACGACAATGCGCGCGACGTCGCGCCTTATGCGCGGTGGTGATTTCATCGCCTGTCAATGGCATTTTTGCACCGACACTATATAGGCTCGCGCCGTGTGAGATAATAACATATGAAATGCCTCTATAGCTCGTTATACCTTTCTCTATCGGGCGCGCGCGCGCTGCAGGTGAGTCATTCGAACGCATCGCGCTAAATATTCATCCCGAAATCTTCCTAGACGATTTTTGCATAATTTATTTTTTCTACTTCGAGATCTATCGTTCACAAACAAAATAAATAAAAAGACTCGATTTAAATAGATGCTCGATGGTACTCAATATAAATGTAATACGGCGATGCTTATAAGCGCGAGCGCATATATTTATTGTCTGTACTTGTCGGCGTGCATAGCGGCAATTGTGCCAAACGACGACACGCATAATCCATCAATTGCAAAATGAGGATATTTAACTCGTCACGCCACGACGCGTCGTGCTGCTGGCCGAGTGCAATGACACTTGTTACGATATATTTAATATTAAGTTTGCGATTTTATAATTTTATAATGTGAGCACTGACCTGGACGTGGTAGTACTGCGAAGCTGCCATTATATCGCGTTCCTTTGGATTTTGTCTGGAAAATGTAAAAATTTTTGGGTAATTCTACGTGACTTAACTAGAGTAGAAAAGTAAAATATAAATTTAGGTCGAGTCGACGAGTTTTGTATATGTGCGGCGGCATGGGTGCAGTTTCTCGACGCGTGCAGTGCTCTCCGGTACGTAACGATTCTACATGTCGGCATTTCTCACGATCGCGTTTACGATGCACGGTTATAAATTCATTTAGTGTGCCTTAAATTTTCTCGAAACTCTGTGACAGCACTTTCTCAATTGCAAAAAATCTTCACACATACGCCGGTTCTGCGAGTTTTTTTTGTGGCGCACAGCTTGTGGAGAATAAAAAACTCGAGTTTGACACACATCGATTCGATTATATACCCGTAGGCATGTGCACTTCCATGGGTGGGTTAAAACTCGTCGACCGATTTCTTCGCATCGTGTCACTGCGGTATGCGAGCAAATACATAGAGATAATATAAAAATCAATACAATGTATGGATGGAAAATAAGTATGTATACCGAAGCAAGCGAGACAGAGGCAAACTATATATCGTCGTATTATTATCTATATAATATGTTGCTGGTTGGAGAGTCGAAGCTCAACTGCAGCTAGTGGCACAGCTTGGCTTCGGGCCAGTGGTAGTATAGCGAGCGTACGGCGAGAGGAAGTTACCACGTACATATAGCGCGTTACAGAGCTCGGGTGTGGTACCGCAAGCATATACGTGTATGTATACTATATCGCCGGTCTCTCGTCGCTATATACTCCGCGCAGCACGACTACAAGCTCGTTTCTCTTTTTTCGCGGAGCTCTGTGCGCGATGATGACGCTGCGTGACTATATAGGATGTAGTAGATGCACGGAGATTTCGCTGTAGGTGTTTCTTTCACTTTTGGACAAATCATCATCGCGTTGTGTACCGTACGCAGCTCGATTTTCGTTTTGTTTTCGTGATAATAATACCGATCGTCGTTGAGTTACGCAACCGATGTATTATGATTCATATAAAGCTACGCAACGGCAAATTTAACGCGCGTATTTTTTTTCTCTCGATCTGCAAATGGAATCGATACCTCTATAATACTTCGCAAATGAAAACACGGTTTTGTAGCGCAGATGTATGTTTGGATCTAGAAATATATATATATATACGTAGCAGTTGTATAAATGGATGAAGCGTAACGTCGCTCGAGCGCGAGTCGAGACGTCCAAGGATGTACACAGTCTGGAAAAGCGGCGACACCGTGACGGACTACGTCACGGAGCGATGACGATATATATGGATGTTTTGTATTCCTTAAGACTGTGTAAGCATATACCTATATCTCTTTACATACTTACGCTCGCTATGTACTATAATATGTACTTTTGCAGAGACGAAATCCATTGCGATCGATTCAATTACGTTGAAAGTTTTTATTTTAAAAAGTAACGCGACGTGAGTTTATTAAATTGCGATTAGCTAGGTTGCGCGAAGAGGGACAGTCGTTATGCACTCGGCTTAATTAGAAGCATAATCCATTGGGTATTTCCTTGGAGGCTCGTGCAATGTGCAAATTTTTTAAAGATAAAAATTAAAAAACAGTACGCAAATCATCCAAGAAATGCGAGCAGTTTCGCGCGTGATTCATTCCGACGATGTTTTCACAACCGCGAAGATTACGTGATTATGAAAATATCCTTCGTTTTTCCAGTCATCGCGTGAGATGTATCACGTCCATGGACAACGAGGAGTCGTACATATATTTTCGTCGCTTCCGTGATCGCACGTGCGTCTTCTAGACGGATTTTAATTACGAATTCTATTTTCCCGCATTATATAGATAGACTGGGTGCGATCGATATAGTGCATTCTTTTCTATATACGCTCGATTGCAGATAAATATAGTTTAATGAATATGTCTCTGCGAAAAATGACTCACCTTTCTCAATTTAATATACTGCTCTATGATTCGTTCCTCGTCAAAAGTACTCGTGCACAACTGCAACTCGCTCGTATATACTGTCACTCTTATACGATAGTGCCGCAGCTTTGAAATTTCGCGCAATAAAAGAGCGCTGATATGTAGAGGGAGCAAAAGTTCGAATTTGTTGAGCGAAAAACGATCAAAAAAGAGAGCCGGAGAAATGCGCGCAGAAAAAAATCGTCGTTCCTCTTTCTATCTACTTTGCGTTGCACATGCCAAACACACAAAACACAGCGCAACACAACACAACACAACACACAACAGCAGCTCAACAAGTTGGTGCTGTATATCTGTGCAGCGCGTAGCTCGTCGCACAAGTTTTATTTGTACACGGAGCAGCGTCGTGATAAAAACAAGGCTTCGAGCGTCACTACTCTCGCCCATATAGAAGATCAAATAAATTCGTGAAAAATGTCTCTCAAGGTATGTTAGTTTTGGCCCTCGATACGAACGATTCATTTATTACGTTTTATTAATTAGAAATTTTGATCACGATTTTTTGATCGACTCGAATACGGACGAGCTTTGAATTTATAAATACACATAATCTCGACTCGCGATAAAATGATCAGCTCATGCGTGGAAAGATAATAATACTATGTTAGGCCATTTTTTTGCATATCGATGATATTCAATAACGATTTTTAATAAGGACTTATTCGAATAATAATCAAAATTTTTCAACAGCCTATATTGTACTCGTACTGGAGGAGCTCCTGCTCTTGGAGAGTCCGAATCGGTAATTATAATCCAATTCAAAATTGATCAGTGTAGATTCGCGAGCGTCGCTGAGCTTTTTTTTCTTCATCTCTTTCATACATTGCCCCGCAGCTTTGAACTTGAAGGGAATCGCTTACGAGACGAGAACGATCGACTTGTTAAAGAATGGAGGGGAAAACAACAGCGAGGATTATCGAAAGATTAATCCGATGCAACAAGTGCCTGCGCTCCACATCGATAACCACACCTTGATCGACTCGGTGAGCTATCGAAATTTTTACTACTTTTTGTGAATTAAATCTCATACATCGTTATATCGGTTTATTGAAAAAAAAAAATCCTCAGCTCAACATAATAGAGTACTTGGACGAGACGCGACGCGATCCACCATTGCTGCCGGCCGATCCTGCAGAAAAGGCGAGAGTACGCGAGATGTGTCAAGTTATCGTGGCGGGCATCCAACCGGTTCAGAATGTCACTGTGCTCAATCGACTCGACAAAGAGCGCCGCTTGGAGTGGGCTCAGCACTTCATCTCTCGCGGTTTCACCGGTAAGCTATCGCGCCACCGACGATGCAATGCGGGAAGAAAATTTTGATTTTTTCTTTGTGCTTAATTATGAATTTCAGCTTTTGAAAAATTACTCGCCATGAGCAACAGTAATGGCAATTATTGCTACGGAGACAACATCACTCTGGCCGATTGCTGCCTCGTGCCACAGGTCTACAACGCACGCCGATACAAAGTCGATCTGACGCCGTTCCCGAAAATCGTCGAGATCGATCGCAATTTGAGCAATCATCCCGCCTTCCTGGCCACTCATCCGGACAAACAGCCCGATTGTCAACCTGACTAAACTTAGAAAGACTGTACCAGTTGTACTATTTTTTCTACTTCATTATTTATCATAATATATTAAAATCATTTATTACAATTTTTTATCATTAAAATTTCTTATTTTCACAAATAAAAAAAAAAATGTATTCCTTTGTCTTCATCGAGTATCAGAAAATCATGAAATTCGGAGTAAAAAATAGTACCAGCGCCATCTTACTGCGATTCGAGTTACTTCTGCTGCAGAGTGGAGACGGCTTTTTTCGTGAGAGTTGAAAAGAGACGGGTATATTGACTCTGCGGTCGTTCGTCGCATTGACAGACAGCCACGTGGTCGTCGCATTGGCGCGCCGGGCCCCCACATGTGTTCATTTTCAGTTGCACTTGAACTACAGTATAACCTAAGCAGAAGATTTAAATTCTGCGTACACGTGACTCGTGTTTTTATTTAGTATATTTATTTGAAACCGTCAAATAATTCACCATGAGTTCGGGTTTGTTTGTTTCTAAAAACTTTGAAGATGAAGTCAGTGCCGAGCAGGATCATTTGGCTGTGTTAAGACAGCAAATTGCAGCGAGAGCAGCAGAGAGAGAAAAACAACAAAAAGAGGCAAAAAAAAATGAGGTCAATGAAAAAGATCTTAATGCTCCAGCAAGTAAAACACAGACTGACAACAATGTTAAATCAATTGAAGAGAACGAAGGAAAACAAGGTGAAGGAAAGAAGGCTAAAGTGCTATCAAACTTTACAATTTTAGGCAAAAAACAAAGTACAAAACAGTTGAAAGTTAAAAGAGTATTGCAAGATTGGATAGCTCATCCAAAAGTTGTGAACTCAGAGCTTAGTAAAGGTGAAAGTGTTGACAGTTTTGAACCATTGTTGGACTCGCATCTAATAACAAAACTCAAGAATGATGGTTTTGATAAATTATTTCCCATTCAAGCAACTGCATTGAAATGGTTACTTGATACTCATCAACATTATAGACAAGGCATGAGGCCACGAGATACATGTATATCTATGCCAACTGGAAGTGGTATGTAACATCTGTTCACTTTTATGTTAATAACTAAACTTTTTGATGTTCAATTAATAAACTTGTAATGTTTATAGGAAAAACGTTGTCCTATGTTCTACCAATTATACAAATACTTAAAAATAAGTTTGTTCGGTTGGTTCGATGTCTGATTGTGTTACCAACGCAAGAGTTGGCTACACAGGTGTATAAAGTTATGACTACATATACTAAAGACACTCATTTAAAAGTAGCTGTAATAACAGGAGCTTCATCATTTGATGAAGAACAAGAAAAATTAGTGAAAAAAGGTAAAAAATTGTTAATTTAATTGTTACTGAATTTCAAACAATTTGAAAAAACTTTATGAATTTAAAAATTTAATTAAAAATTTTTTTTTCTAGAGGAAAACGGAGAATATATTAGTAAAGTTGACATAGTAATTGCTACACCAGGGCGTTTGATTGATCATATAAAAAAAACAGAAGGGTTTAACTTAGAAGCTTTAAGATTTTTAGTAATCGATGAAGCAGATCGCACTACAGATTGGCTGCGATATCTTCCACCTCTACAAGTTACACCTCCACAGATAACAGTGAATAACTCTTTTGTTGGTCTTAATTGGTAATATTGAATTTTTTTTTTTTCTATTGCATTTATAAACAAAATGTCAAAATATAAGCTAAAAAATTATTTAATTGCAGTAAATTACCAGCTCAGAAGATTCTTTTAAGTGCTACTTTATCTTTAAACCCGGAAAATCTTCACGATTTTTGTCTTCATGATCCAATACTCTATACATCAGCAGCCGGTGATCTGAGTGAATTAGATGGAGATTTGAATCTTGACGAAGATTTCACTAGCTGCTATGGAAATCCCAGTGAACTGACTGAGAGAATTTTCCAGAGCTCCCAAATGCAGAAGCCTCTTGCAGCCTATCATTTGCTCTTGAAAAAGAAGGCATACAAGAAAGCTTTAGTTTTCACAAATTCCTGTGAGTCTGCTCACAGTTTAGCTCTGCTTTTAGCATTTCTTGGTGAAGAAAAGAAAATTACAGTAGGAGAACTCACTGCTCAACTTGGCTCTAAACAACGAGAACAGACTCTCAACAAATTCAAAGATGGATCTTTACAAGTGTGAGTTTAAAAAAAACATCTTTAATTTGATTATTTTGTATTAGCCTTTAGTTGATACTAATCAATGAAGTTCGTGAATAAAATTAAACTAAACTCAGTCTAATTTCAAAGATAATTCACGTACTTCATGGAACTGATTGCTAGTATTAGCTCAAGGTGGATTGAGATCACTTATTGTGTAGCAAAAAAATTGTGCATCCTAAACCGCAGAAAAGCATTGGTCTTATGAATCAATGTTGAACCAATGTGTTTCTGCACTTTAAGATGGACATCGTGATGTCAAATTGAAAAATTTTCCAGTATTATATAATAATATATTTTTTGCAGACTCGTGAGTTCTGACGCTCTAGCTCGTGGATTAGACATTCCTAAAATAAAATTAGTGATCTCCTACGATCTTCCAAAACACGTCAAGGGCTACATACATCGTGCTGGCAGAACTGGACGTGGAGGTGTTCCTGGTACAGCCGTTTCTATTCTTTTAGACAATCAGATTCCTCATTTCTCCAAGATGTTACGTAATGTCGGCAAGACTGTACCAGAGGTCGAGACCGAGAGTCTCGATGAATTGGCCGAGTCTGTGGGTTACAAGAAGCATTTGGAAAAACTGCAAGAAAAGCTTGACTTGGAAGACGAGGAGAAAAAGTTGTCAGGCAAAGCAGTAAAACGACCGAAAAGAAACTAAAAAATGTTCTCGATGCCCATTGAAATAATATTTTTGGTCCTACGTTGAAGACGAAATAGTACATTATGCAACGGGGGCAGGAGATTGACGACCGTCCCAGTTGCGTATTATATTTTTGTTGTCAAAGCGTACAGGAAGTCGATTTGAGGATTTTTCCGTACGCTGTGCTGTGTGAAAAAGTAGCACTTTCATCATGTAGTGATAAAAATTTTATTTTCTGTCGGGGGTTGAAAAAAAAGTTTGAGCATCATCTGCAACATTATCATCATTATTAGGAGCATTATAAGAGATGAAAAAGAATGTCTAGATCGCATGTAAATTAATAATCGAGGCGACAAAGCAGCCGTGTTTTATTTCGGCATCGCTTCGGATTTTTTTTTTTTTTTTTTTTTAAATATAAATTTAAGTATATCTATACCAATTACATAATTTCATGCCTGGGTTGAAGATTTATATGTGATCCAAGATGTACCTTTTATCTCTATTGATCCGTAATCGAAAATTTTAAAGCAGTGTAAATCAATTTTCATCAATAAATAAACTGGAACAATTAACATCGATCATAACATTTTATTGTCTTGAAGTTAATAGTATTATATATAGTCTTCACTTTTCTCATCAGCTGCAATAGCTTTCACACTCTTTTCACTGTTTTGCCATTTTTCCTATTTTTTTTTCTCAACAAACACTAAAAAATTCTCGCGTTCTACACTACCTATGATATCGCTCTAGTCGTGCATTTTGTTTGCATTGACCAAGGCAAGATACGATTTAATTAATATAACAAAAATAATCATTGCGAGATCATTCATCTCTTTATAATTTTTCCCCTTTATTGCTATTATTTTTTATTAACAAATTCGATATGTTAAAAAACAAACAAAGAACTGTTTGTATGCCGCGCTGTTATATTTTTTCGTTGTATCCAGCATTTTTCATACATCAAAAATAATGATTTTTTCCCCATTTTCGTCAATGCAATTGCAAGATTCAACTGTTTTCCTTCTTTTTATTTATTTTTTTTTAATTTGTACAAATATATTTTACAAAGTTAACCCGCTGATTCAAGGGTACAAGCTAAGAAAAATGTTTTAAAAGAAAAAGCTTTGAATGGTCGTAATTACATGTTATTTATCGTTTAACTTTACATTAATGAATTCGTATTTTTTGGACCACTCGAAAAAACATTCCTAATGTATCGAATTGAATACGATCGATCGTAACTTGCAATTCGAAGATTTTGGTAATTTTTCCACAAATGTTCAACGCACATTAACTAAATCATATTTTTTTATTTCGCTGGCAGTGTATTTTCGCAAAATGGAAAACAATTTTATACGCAACTTCACGAACTATATTTCTTCACTCTGTCGTACAACAAAAAACAATACACCAATTAATGATTATTTTTTCATATTGCTCACTAGTGTCTCGGTAATCGAGTGCCAATGACGAAAAATAATCGAACTTTTGTTCCTTTTATACACCATTAAGATATGCACTGTCGATTCATCAAAAAAGGATGAATTTACATACGTTGTATATTATTTTTTTCATAGATCATAACAATATTCGAGTTTATTATTTATTTTACGAGTTATACAAGTTACATCTCTTTTAATATATATAATTTTTTTATTTATTTATTGTCGTGATTCACCCTCTCACAGGTTCCATACATACTACCATATGTACTTTACGAGTAATAATTTTATAAATATAATACGCTGATGGGCGTATCGCTCGTTTTAATAAAGCACCTGAGTGAGTTTTTTTCCTGCTCGCACATGTTTAGCTCGTCTATACAATATGTTTTATATTATCCCTTTTTTTTACGTCATTATACACCGTTTTATTTAATTAAATTTATCTTACCGGGTTTATTATTATTATTATTCATCTTTTTTTTTTACAAATGTTTACAATCGTTTGCGCTCGTACCGTAAAATTGCGCCGCAATAAACGCAACGCTCGTCAGCCTCGTAAATACACGATTTACCAAGGAAAACAATTGTAATACCGCACTAGACTTGCTCGGCATACCCACATTCACACACATACACACATACACACATCTACACGCGCATACAGTCATTCCCTGAGCGTGTTAAAACTGACCACTATCTCGTATGGCAGTAGCAGTTGCAGTAGCAGCGGCAGCCGCGTCGAGCTTAATTAACATCGCGCTGCGGAGCTTAATCCGCATCAGAGTAACGCAGTGGCACGTATATCGGATACTTCTTAAGGAGCAGAAAAAAAATACACACACACACATGCACACGGGGTGGACACTGCTCTGGGCTTGAATAAATTAAACGGGATTTCAGAGCAAAGCGTTGTGAGCACGCGTTGTTTTACGAGGCTGGACAACAATGAAGAAAAACAAAAAGAAACACGCTTGCACGAACTTTGAAATCAGAGTAGATTATTTTTCTCCATTGGATTTGCTTTTTACAGTATTGTATTATTTTGGGTACCATAGATATAAAAACTTTGATTTTCATTGCTGCGTACATGTAAGGATAGGTATATACAGTAACTAGGATTATTATTATTTCTTTTTTTTTCTATTTTTTTTTTTTCGTAACTCGCTCAGCTGGAACGGTATGGAATTCGATGAACTTGCTCAATTTTAATTTATTCTCAATATATATTTTAAGTACGCGTTATTCATCGCAGTTATTATTATTTTTCATATAAATACAATGTGGTTTTGTGAACCACGAATCATTGCAATTTCCCCTTGATTCGCTGTAAACAGTGAATCTTTTTTTTTTATTATACCATTAACTTACGTCTACGATTAATATATGTACAATCGAATAGTCTGAAGCATATTGAGCGATGGAACTCTAGATATTTGAAGATGGATAAGTATCGTATGTATGCATGCATCGAATGCATTTATAATGATAATTATAAAAAAAGGAAGACGAAGTTATGCTCCTTTTGTCTTTGGATCGCAAGGAATAGATAAATATATATTATTTATATTATATACGTATCCTATATGTATATGATACAATATTATATACATTCACGCACGAGCGAAACTGCGCGGGTCGATTTTTTGCCGGTTCACTTGTCTTTCGCGCAGCAGCTTCGGCTTCTTCTTCTTTTCTCGCTGACGCAGTGCAGTTGTTCCGCGCGCGCGAGATATCGTAGTCGTGCTGCTGCGAGTGCCTTCCCCGCCACACACAGCAGAGACAGAGATAGAAAAGGAGAGAGAGCAAGAGATAGTCAAAGAGAGAGAAAGAGATAGGCAAGAAAGAAGAAATATATCGCGAGTACGTGCTCGGGGTGAGAGTCGCAGAAGCGGTTGCGTTTATTACGCGCGGCCCGGAGTTTCGATATCGCTCGCGCGAGTCATACGCGCGCGACGACGACGAAGACGACTTCCGAGCGAGATCATCCGCGCGGATTGTTAGAAACGTAAAAAAAAATCGATATGCACCGAAAGAGCTTTTCTCGTACACGATATGAATCGTTTGAGAAAAAATTAAATTTTAAAGATCTCGATATTATTCGATTCGACTGCATGTAAATAATTTTTTTTCGGGCAGCGGATGACGTATATATTTACAAATCGCTTTGTACAGCAACGATAAATATCCCCCTTTACTGATTTTAAAGTATCCTCGACACGATACCGATCATCGCTAGCATCTGTAGCGAGCCGAGGCTCGTGGTTGCTCTCAGCATAATACCGATCGAGCCCGAGCCCGGATACGAGGACGATCTCGGCTTGTCGTAGTTGCGATGCTGCTGCTGCTGATTGCCCGAGCCCGCGCTGCCGCCCACGCGCTGATGGCCGTTCTTGCCGCCGCTGCCCCCGCCGCCGTCCATCGTCTGGGTGCTGCTGTGGCCGAGACTGTTGCCGCTGTTCGAGGAGGTCAGGAGCTCGTTGTCGTGGCCCTGGCCGTGGCTGCCGTCGTACTCGCCTCCGCCGCCCAAGCCTCCCTGATTGTCGTCGTCGTCGCCGCCGCCGCCGCTGTCGTGATGACGCTGGCTGAACTTTCTGCGCGACGACTTGGAGCCCTGCTGCTGTTGCTTCTTGCGATTGGGTCGCAGATCGTTGGGACGCGACTGCGTGCCCGGCGCGGACGTCGTCTGGTACACGTCCCGCACCAATTCCAGCTCTGCGAATCGATCGTTCACAAAAGATCGTTTTTAAATTATAATTGTAATAGAGAGGGTGAGACGTGTATTGCATGGTCCAGACGTACCTTGTAATCTGACGGCACCTTCGGCTTTGCCAAGGGCATTTTCCGACGAGCAGACGTAGCCGACAAAGTCACCTTTGTCCAGGCTACGGATCGTCAGGTTCATTTCCCAGGAGTAGTGATTTATCGGGGCCTCCGACATGGAGTATTTGTCGTTGGGAAGTAATTTTTCACCTGCAACGAACACATTCACAGATACACGTATACAATACCCCGTGCGGAATCGTTTGTATCTATATCAATCATTATTTTTTCTTTTGGGGATTTGTTTTTTTTTTATATCCGACCGATGGTAACAAAAACAATAACAAAAAAGTAAAAAGACTAAAACAATTCGTTAATTTGTGAGCAGCCGAGTGGAATGCCTCAAACACAAAAACTAATTCCTCTCTCTTTTCTCGCGCGCGTAGTGTGCTTTCCCCCGGTGGGGGTGTATGTGCGTAGGTGCATTTGATCCCTTTTTTTTTTACTTTTCACATAACAAGTCGAAACGGATATCTGCGCTACGATTGAAAGAGTATGCGAGCGCTTTGAGAGAAAAAAAATCAATTCGCAATGATTGCAAATGCCGATGGCTGGCGTTGTTCCACTTTTTTCCTTCTCTCTGTCGGCGCAGCACACAATCGCGTATCTCTCGAATTGTGCACCCGTGTAAGAATTATCCCCGCGCGCGCCGCGTTTTGCCCAACCAGTCGAGATTACACACGCGAAAAGGCAAAATGAAAAATTCAATGTACAGTTTATTCAGCGATAAAATATGATACTCTGGCTCGCGCCCTGTGTATATGATACAGCAGATCATTAATTACCTTTGTCAGTGAACCACGTGTTCATGGCTTGGGGCGAAGCTTCGACGATGCACTGCAGCGTGACGTTCTTTGTCACCGGCGCACCCACCACGTGATTCGTCACTTTTATCGATGGCTGGACTGCATCGGCCCCGCACAGAATGAAATGTAAAGAATTTTTTTTTTTTATATATTGATAAAGGTATGCGCGATTTGATATTATATAATATTTTGTAGCTTCGGATGCGTATGCCGCGCGCGTCTTAATATACGTATAGGCTTTGGCATGAATTTTGTCGATAATTTGCTGAGCGCGCGTATTTTCACGTAATTCTTGTGTTGAAATATTTTCATAAATGTGCAGAATTTTTGTAAAAGGAATTTTTTCCTGTACCCTTCTATATCGATGCAAAACAATGCACAATTTAAACAAGGACGCGTTATATTAATTGTGCGTAATGTAGGACACGCTGCATTGTTAATTAATTGCTATTTTCTTCCTCGAGCTTTATATATTTTTCGACCATCAGTGAAAATAGCTTTCGAATATTTTATCGATCGGCCCTTGGGATTGGATCGCAGCGATCCGAAATATCTCGCATCGAATCCGATACATTTAAGGGAAAATTACAACAACTCACACTGCACATTAACGGCGTAGCGTTTACTGACTGTCGGCGGTATGCCGTTGCTCGCTATGCAGAGATAAGTGCCCATCTCTTGGCGCAGCACGCCGGTTAGCTCGAGCTGCTCGCCCTCGTATTTCTCGAGTACTGCAAAAATAAAAGAAGAATCAAGAAAATAGAGATTTTGCAACGTTTAGATAAAAACACATTTTTCTCTCTACTATCGCTCTGCGTGCGCGGCGCATAGTTGAAATTTCAATTCAGTCAATATAATCGTAGTCGTCGAGGCTTACATTTTTTTTGTCCGTTCTCTCTCAGCACAATCTTATGGCCGTCCTCGCGCTTCCAGGTGACGTTGGGCTCGGGCGAGCCCGTTGCGACGCAGCGCAGCTTGATATTGCCACCCTCGTGCGCCACCAGGCCCTCCGAAGTCTCGTCCATGATATCGGGCGGAATGACGACAGTCATGTAACCCATCTGTTTTTTTCCATTCGCCCCCCGCACGAATTCGGCGCAGCAGCGGCAGCATCGTGTGCAGAGAAAGAGGGAAATGAAAAATTCAACAATTTTTTCCTATTTTTTTTTTCTACTCGCTCCCTCAGCTCCTTTTTTCATAAAAGAAAGAGCTGGAGCTGCACACGTAAGTATCTAAGAAAATCTGATAATATTCACCTGGCTGAGCATGGGTTCGGTATTGACTTGGCACATGTAGGTGCCGGAATCATTTTTCTGCACGTTCGACACGTGCAGCTTCCAGGTGTTGTGGCCGTTGTGCGTCACCGACAACCGTGGATTGTGCGCCACCAAGTGCGTGTGTATGGCCAGAATCGCCCTCGAGTCCGACTTGATCCAGGCGACCTTTAATTATGATAAAAAAAACAAAAAATCACGCAAGTTCGAGTTATGCGCCGGACATTGTTTCAGAGCTTATGACGTTATATAGCTTTCGTATGTATAATGCGTGCGGCTGAAAATTACTCGATTAATCTTACCCTGTAGGACTGAAGATGATTGACGACGCACGTGAAGGACACTTCTCGGCCTTGGATGACCGTGTGGTTTTCCAGCGGTGCCAAGAATTCCGGCATAATCTCCGGCGCTATTTGACCTGCAACAGCGTATAGAACAATGCCATTTTTTACATCATTCTTATAAGATATTTATACATGTGCATTTCGTATTATATACGTATAGAAGAGTGAGATTCAATAAAAGAAAAATAAAATCGTAGCTAAGGGTAAAAAGCTCTCGGTACACGACTTTTGTTTCGCGAAATTTGATGTAAGCGAATATATCCAATACAAAAACGTCTCTACGATGTACGAAGATTTATCTGCCCGCGCCTTTGTACTTGATTTTAAGTCAGCGAATTTTTTCTCGCGCTTCCCATCCGCCCGCCCTTGCGCAAAAGGAGAAGGAAGTAAATAAATGCCATAAAAAAATTCGCGAAAGAGAATAATACAATTCAATTTTCACCAAAAGTATATATAAGTACTCTTATACATGAAAAATAAGCTCCGGAATTTGAATCCCTGGCAAGAGTGAGCGAGCGAGCGAGCGAGCAAGGAGGAGAGTTATGAAACATCTTTAATACGAATGCATTCATACTTTAATCTTATCTCACATATTTTAAACACACACGGACGCGCGCGCGCAAACTCATACTCCCTCTCTCACACATGCATACACACACTTATAGACACACATGCACACACGTGCGCGCATTGAGTGCTCGAATATCTCGCACGCGTTCGTGCGAGAGAAGCGATAAATGGAAAAATTCTTCGTTCGTTTTCCTGAAGAGTAGAAGCAGCAGCAGCTATCCTATATGCTATGTAAGTGTGTGCTGCTGCACGACGACGACGACGACGACGTGTCGGAGCGAGCCTGAAGCATCAAACACTCACAATGGTAATCCCAAAACTCGCGAAGAGCGAGAAGCATGTGTGCCTCGTGCGAGAGAAAAGATATCTCTGATGCATGTGCCCAAGAGTGCTAGCTGCGCGAGTAGTCCTTTACCATATTATATCTCCTGCGCAAGCTGAGAAAGAAAAATCTCAAGCTTTTTTCCTCATCTCCCGTTCGTTCGATTAATTGTCAAATTTTTTGCTCCTCTCCCGTGTACTCTAAGTAATCGGCATTAAAACAAAATCTCGGGATATTATACCTCCTCCTAGCCCGGGGAAGAGGCTACTTTATACATAGGCTATATATGCTCGAGAGTTTTATTGTCGGCAGTGCAGCTCAGTAGGAGGGGAACCGTATAAGGAATTCTAATTTTGCGTTTAACTCTTATTTGACTGGCACGCGTACACGGAGTAAGCCACTTTGAGCTGTTGAGAGCTTCAGCAGCAGCAGCAGCAGCTTCTTTTCTGCCACTGTCCCCCTTCATTCGTTTATCTTTTTTTCTCTCTCGTTCTTTCTCTTTTTTTCTCTTTCGATCCATTCACTGCTTTAAACCCTCTCGTTTAACCGATATACATATATATTATACGCTTCGCGAAAGAAAAGCGGTGGTGACGGCGGCGACGATGATGATGAGATTTTCAAGAATACGCGTCCGCGAGTTGTGAATATACTTGGGCGGGGGAGATGGGAAAAAGATGACTGCGAGAAATTATGCAGCCACAGCAGCACAGAGTCTCTGTGTAATATAACGTCTGAAAAGGGTTATATGCGAATAAATATATGCTAAAAATGTTGCGCTTTTCAAAAGTTAGCTGCCTCTCGCGCGCTTCCGAGCTCGCTCCATCTCTCTCTTTCTCTCTCTTTCGCGATGACGACGATCGCGATAGCTTTAATCGCTTTCAAAAGTGTAGCATAGAAACTGACTGGCTTGGGCTAAGCGCGCGGCGCAGTACGGCAAGGGTAAAAGGGAATAGTAGTGGTAGTACGACTACGACTACTGCTACTACTACTACTACTAATCTCTAGCCGAGCTACCGGGCGAGAATAGTAGGATTCAGTCGTAATCTCCAATGTTAACTGCGGATTAAATTGGAAGGGAAAAATTTAATTTAAATCCCTTTCTCGTTGAATGCAGAAAAGCAAGAGGGAGAGGAGGAGGAGGTGAGCCGAGTGAGTAAGAGAGAGAGAGAGAGAGAGAGAGAGAAATAGTATATAGTAGAGACGCAAAACTTGGACGCTCCTCTTGCAGGCGCGTGAGAGTAATTTTCTGAAAAGATTGTTACGCATGGATTATAACGTGCGCGAAAGCGGCCCGGCCAGCGTTATTATCATACTGTTTCTTCGAGTCTCCAGTACATAAATTCATTTTCTAAGCTGTGTTGGCCGTACTCTTTTTGCTTTTTTTTTAATTTTTAAATTGTCTAAGCCTCGTGTGCGAGTACGGATAATTGGAAGATATATTATAAGTTTTAGCCTCTCCTACGACTAGCTCGTACAACATCGCCTGGCTCCGGGAAATATTCTTCTTTCCGTATACTGTGCACTGACGTCTCGATCCTTAATGGTTATGTGCTTTACGACTTTGGTACACAATATCCGCGTGGTAGAGAAAAAAAGTCTCGACGATCGCGAAAGAGAAAGAAAGAAAGAAAGAAAGAAACGGAGGTAGAGGTTGCGAGAGAAAACTTTTTTTTGCTCTTCGATTATCGCATTACACGACGAGGCGCCCACTCCCCGCTTCACAAACCGTCCTCATAGACCCGAAGATATAGCGTATATAAACTTCAATTTTACGCTCGAGAAGACTCGCCTTAAACACGCGATGGAGAAAGACACTCGGGCAATCAGCAAACTTATGCATTCGCCGCGAGGAGGGAACAGTTCTGCCTTCTTTATACAGACACACACAGGGGAGAGAGAAAGTGAGTCAACTTTTCTTTATTCTTTCACTTCGACTTCTACAGCCAAGCTTGGCGGATCAGGGTTAAAGCGCGCGGGGGAGAACGAGGTAAACTTTCGACGGACGATCCGTAGCGCGGGGCCGCGGCGCGTCATGGATATAGATACCGGAGCATCATTATCCATACGATACGAGATTTACCTCGATGCCCATATATATTTCCTTGGGACGAGCAAATTATCGAATGTCCGGGCTGAGTTATACACGCATAGGGGATCGTGTATCTCGTATGTGGAAATTTCATCGCTCGTTTGTTCGCGAGTTTGCTTTTGAATTTGGAAAATCAAATTTTGGAGAAAAGATTCGTTCCGACTTATTTCACTATGTGTAATTAGTCGTGTAAATAGAGAGAAAGGGATGGAGGCAAGAGAGGAGGTCGGGTTTGTATACACGTAATTTTCCGCAATGCTTTTCTATGCACAGCTTGTGTTATATATACACACACACTGCACAATCGGGTGGTAGCCGAGAGTTGTTTATTTTCCAACCAAATGAGAATTTATACGAGTCCCCGAAGAACTCAACTCATCAAGAGTCTCTCTGGCATATCCGGTTCGTATACCCGCCGTAACATCTGCCTCGGCTTCGCTCTCGATTTCGCAGAATGGGCCACGGGGTTATCCGGGAGAGCTTGTTCTTGCGCTTTCTATGTACGCGCGGCAAGCTGCAAGCTGTGCATATACTGCATCGCACCGCAACGAGCACAGGTTCCTTTGCATAATGATTTCGTGTAAATTTTCCTTCGCCAAAATTTATTTATGCATATACAGGGCATCGATGTTTATTTTTACGGACTCGTCTGCGAAAGCATCAGCAGTTGAGATAATTTCATCCCCGCAGCTTCGGGGAGCTGTTAACACTTTTCCATCCTTGTTTATCGCTCTCGTGGCCCCCCTCGACGCAGCACAGCCTCGACAGACTTAATATTTTCGACAAGAATTTTGATTAATCAAATTTCATCGTACAACTAAGATTCGTTGCGGAACTAAAATCGCGCCTTTCGCTCTCTCTCTCTCTCTCTCTCTCTCTCTCAGCCCCTCTTTCTCAACTCGACTCAGTCAAATTGCTCCAGAGTGTCTTATTTAATTTGTACAGGGATGGAGCTTGTTTTATTAAATTAAACGAGAAATTTCAACTTGATGTAATTACAGCCTTTTGGTGGTATCTGTACGTGTGCCGCGCTCTGCCTTCGCGTGTAAAATCACTCGAGTGTACCTATATATACCGCTCGATGTAACTCGTTCCAATAACGACGACGCCGGTGATACTTCAAGGTACGATCCTCGCGTGTTAAGTATCTGATCTCTTTTTAACAAAAAAAGAAAGAGAGAGAAAAGGAAAAAAAAAGATTTTCATTTCAAACGGACTTCCATGGTTTATATCGATCGCAAAAACTCGTATGTTAGCCTCGGACTAACCGCATTATATATATACGTCGACGAGAGAGAAGACAAAACGGCCAGCCCGAGTCTTGATTTAGTTTTGAACCTCCGCAAACGTTTCTCTCTCTCTCTCTCTCTCTCTCTCTCTCTCTCTCGCAACGCCTGTATACGAAACAGAAATAGTAGGAGGATTCGGCCTAGCGGAGATGGTATTTATTACGCTATAGCATATTGTGCAACTATCTCTCTCTCTCTCGCCGCGCATTGTTTGCGTTTTGTGCACCGTGGCATATGATCCTCCCCCGTTCCTTTTTTTATTCCATCTGGTTTCTTGTATTAAACACTGCCTGCACGCGCAAGCTTGTCAAGAGTTGTGTAATTTTCCTTGTTTGTTGCCGCTACACGCGCGTACCACGCTATATAATGCAATGCCGCGTTTTTGGGTACGCTTTTTTTTTTGTAAGTTAAATTTTTGCCCAAACGCGCTGCATGTGACGCGAAGAAAAAAAAATTAAGTAAATAAAATTTAACGTTTTTGGGATCGATGTGCACGTGGAATATATATGCTATGCACCAACGTACCGCCGGAAACGTTCATAAGCCTCTTATTAATACAAATGTATTTACAGACTATAAGCGAAACATATTTTGGAGCCGACAAAACTGTCGCGGGCTTTCGATGTATGACAATAAATACTTGCTTGCAAAAAGCCCCCGAAATATCATCCGGATCCCGGCTGAATTTGATACTTTTAATGCGCCCCCGCGTGTGTGCCCGTATCTATATATTATTCATTTCCCACGCGACGCTCAAGTGTGCGTATACGCGCATATCGCTCGAATTGTTAAAATTGTTATATCCCGTGATCCGCGGTAAATAACATTCGCGAAGCCAATAACAAAATATTCCCCCGTGCTTGTGTATTTCGATGGAAAAAAAATTTCGTTCGCGCACGACGCACGCAAGTTTGCCATAAATTTACGCCGGACATCGTGACTTTACGACTCATTATCGTCGATTTTCTTTTTTTCCCCGCGTCAGGGGAGACAATAAGGTAAAAATCGTAAAGTTAATTATTGATTTTTCGATGACGCGAATGCGATTGATCATAACGTATTCCATTTACAATGTTCACCGACAAATGAGGGCCTCTTTAGTATAAATGTCTGCTGCTGCCTTTCACGCGCGATACCCATTAACTGCATCATTCCTGGGGGTTGAGTATTCAATTTTTCGAGTTTCAGTCAACTGAAGAAAATTCGAGTACAGTAGTTTTTTTCAGAAATCCAAATTTTTTTGCAGAATAGCCCAGTATTTCAACATTTTCAATGCGCTGGAGTCAGGGTCGGATTATGGAGTACGCTAATCACACCATGGTGTGATCAACATTTTTCAATTATACATATGAATGAGGATTTATTCAATCGATGTTTTTTTTCGTGAATTCGATGATATCTGTCGAGAGTTGATTTGGAAGTACTTGGTTTTAGAAGACCAACAAATTTGTCAAAGGAATCGTCGCCAAGTTGGAATTAAAGATTGTTTCAAATATTTTAGGTATAAACAGATAAATCGGTACCTTAATAGTAAACAATATCATCATAAAAGATTTTGACATCGTCGCACGAATGCTTATCATGTTTATATAGTGAAAACTAATTAGTTTGAATGTTAGCTGTCCTGATGAAAACAAGTCCTAAAACCAAAAGATAAGTTTTACTCATTCAGTTTCCGTGGCACTTCATAGAAGAATCCATCGTTTAATTTGGTCATCGAAATGGATAAAAGCGTGAAGAAATCAGGAGAAGTTGACTCGGAAAATAATTTAAGTGAACGTGACATTGTGGTTTCAGACGAAAAAAAATACATTTGCGATATTTGTCAGGAGTCATTTACATTGGAATCAAGCATGATAACACACCGAGAGACGATTCACATTGATCAGAAATATTACAAATGCGACAAATGCGAAAAGACATTCGAGTTTCGAAGTCATTTGAGTAGACACCAAATATCAAAACACAAAAATAGCAAAGATTTCGCAAGAGACAGATGTGAGAAGAAATTTGTGAAAAAATCAAGTTTATTCACGCACCAAAAATTAGTACACAAAGATCGCCAAGATTTCACGTGCGATAAATGTAAGAGAAAATTTGAAAATAAATCAACGTTACTTAAGCACAATAAAATATTCCATGAAGTTTTTAAAGATTACTTATGTGAAAAGTGTGCGAAGAGATACAGAAATAAACAGAGTTTGCTCTTACACATAAAAATGGTCCACGATGGTCACAAAAATTTCCCACGTGACAAGCGTGAAGAGAGGTTTAGAAAAAAATCGCATTTGTTTATGCACATGACGACAATCAATGAAGGTCACAAAGATTACCCATGCGACAAGTGCAAGAAGAAATTCGGAAAAAAATCGGATTTGTTCAGGCACCAAAAAATAGTACACGATGGTCGGAAAGATTTCGCATGTGACAGGTGCGAGAAAAAATTTGGAGGAAAAAAAAATTTGCTAATCCACATAAAGACAATCCACGAAGGTCGCCAAGATTACGCCTGCGACAATTGCGAGAAAAAATTCGGACAAAAATCGAGTTTACGGTTCCACCAAAGGACAGTACACGAAGGTCGCAAAGATTATATATGCAACAAATGCGAGAAGAAATTTGGGGATCAAAGCAATTTGAGAAAACACCAAAAAACAGTTCATGAAGGTCGTAAAGATTACGCATGCAACAAGTGTGAGAACAAATTTACACAAAAACAGAATTTGCTCAACCACCTAAAGACGGTACACGAAGGTCAGAAAGATTATGCATGTGAAAAATGCAAGCAAAAATTTGGATATAAATGTATTTTGCTTTTACACCAAAAGACAGTCCATGAAGGTCGAAAAGATTACAAGTGCGACAAGTGCGAGAAGAAATTTGGAAGTAAATCAGATTTGTTGAAGCACCAAAAGACTGTTCACGAAGGTCGCAAAGATTACCCATGCGACAAATGTGAGAAGAAATTTGGTTATAAATGGATTATGATTCAGCACCAAATAAAAGTTCATGAAGGTCGCCAAGACTTCGCATGCGACAAGTGCGAGAAAAAATTTACACAAAAAAAGAATTTGTTCTTACACATACAGACAGTCCATGAAGGTCGCAAAGATTTCGTATGTGATAGGTGTGAGAAGAAATTTGGACATAAACAGTCTTTGCTGTTACACCAAAAGACAATCCACGAAGGTCGCAAAGATTACGAATGCGACAAGTGCAAGAAGAAATTCACACAAAAATCGGGTTTATTTAAGCATCAAAGGACAGTCCATGAAGGTCGAAAAGATTTCGCATGCCACAAGTGTGAGAGGAAATTTGGGGAACAAAGCAATTTGAAAAAACATCAAAATACAGTCCACCAAAGTCGCTAAGATAACGCATATAACAATTATGGTTAGAAATGTAGACATAAATCGAGTTTTATAATACACCATAAGACAATACTCAAAAGTCGCAAAGATTGAGCATGCGATAATCGCGAGAAAAAATGATGAATGAAAATTGTAAATATGTATTGGTACTTATATATACATTTATTCTAAAATTTCATTAAAATTGTGCTGAAATGATTCTGTATAACCTGAACTTTACCTCTTATCTACTACACCTTTGTTCATTAACGTTGTGGTTTTTTTCAGATTTCGCGAACTACTGATTACTTTACTCTCTATTCAATTTTTGGTCACTCTGTTCTGTATTAATTTTTTCGGTCAGTTTACGTAAAAAACATCAATAATTATATTTATTTATTAGTAATTATATATACGTTTTGTGTTTTTCTGGACACTTGGCATGTGCATGGAAGAAAATTGTTAGCCAGAATTAATGGAATGTTCATTGCAAGTTGGTTCAATAGTTTTAATGACATGCGGTACCGACATAAATCGCAATACATAACATGCCTAATATCGATGGTAGAGGGGGAAAAACTATGAAGAGTAGTCACTAATATAATAAGTAGCATAAGTCAGTCTGGTATCTGAGTCTCTACCTACAATCAAGGTACAGTGTTGGCTACATAATACACATAACCTCGAAAAATTATTAGTGTAAATCGTGAAAATTCACAGTAATTTCATATAATAAAGTTAAAGATGGAAAGTAAAGAGGATATAGTTAGGTGTGCTTATTTTTGTGCTAGTAATGATATTGTTTATGAAATCCTTTATTCGAATTTTATTATTTTATAGGGTAAGAAAAGAGTTAAACGATACTTGGACCAATGCACCCGATGATAATATTTTCTATGTAATGAATTCTTCCAAAGCCAAAAACTTTGAAACATTTCCGTACTATGAATTGCCAGTGAGTTTAGTGATATGAATTATGTTTTAATTTCCTACTATCAAAAACTACAAAGCAATTTAAATTTTAGACCAATCTCAAGTATGAGGTTATGGCGTTACAAGAAAAGTTAGACGAAATAATATTTATAGATTTTGAGTGTAAGTATGTACCTATAATAAAAATAGAAAAGCGAATTCAGACAAGTTACACGAATGAAAAAAGTCTAATAATTTTAATTGAGAAAGGATTCGATTACGATAATAAGTGCCGATTTCAAGAAAAGTCTCAATTAAAAAGTGACGAACATAAGGAGGTAAAAATATTGAAAAAAAAAGTCTCCGACCAAATCATTTTATGAGTATAAAAAGCGTCCAAAAAATAAAGAAGTGATTCTAAACAGATGTACAAGCACGCCACAAAAGAGCATTAGACCATATAAATGTGAGATTTGTTACAAATCATTGGCAAGCAAAAATAGCTTCAAAACTCATGTAAATAAAGTACATATTCATCGTAAACCCTTCGAGTGTGATATTTGTCACAAATCATTTGGAAAAAAGGCAACCCTCAAAACTCATAAAATTACAGTACATGATCGTATCAAACCCTTCGAATGTGATATTTGCTACAAATCATTTGGACAAAAAGGTAATCTAAAATCTCACGTTAATACAGTACACGATCTTAGTAAACCCTTCGAGTGTGAAATTTGTCACAAATCATTTGGAGTCAAGAGCAATCTCAATCAGCACATAATGGCACTACACGATCATAGCAAACCCTTTGAATGTGAAATTTGTCACAAATCATTTGGCCGCAAGAGTGACATTAAAACTCATATAATTACAGTACATGATCGGAGCAAACTCTTTGAGTGTGGCGTTTGTCACAAATCATACGGCCACAAAGATCGCCTCAAATCCCACATCAGTTGAGTTCATGGTAATATGAAGCCCATTACAAATGTGACATTTGTCACAAATAATTTGGATACCAGCAGGGAATCAAAAAGTCTTCGTGAAAATGTAAGCACTCACATGCGTACACTGCGTAATTTTGTAAAATGTTATCTTAATAAAATATTTCAAATTGTTATTATTTTGTTCGATTCATTCTTTCAAGTATTGAATTCCCAATTCTCCATATTAGTATTGCGAGTAGAAAATCTTGATCTTAAGAAATGATTATTAATTGATATCTTCCAGCAACTCCCGCCCGTACGCAGTAGATTTAATAGCATCTATCTAAACTCTGCTAAGGAATGGCAATTCAGTTAACTTGTGTGGTGCCTGCATGAGCCGCAAAGAGAGAGTTGGTGTGCAAGCAATAATTCCAACTGCTATCACAATACGTTCTGCGATGACACGATCAGGCCAACACTTTTTTAAAAGAGAAAAAATATATTCGAAAAAACTTCCTCTCGTTTCTCTAACTTTACGCTCGTATTTTTTAAAGACGTATCATCCGTATACTTTCTGCACGATTAATGTACTAATTTGAAGTGTACTTTTTACTGCCTTAAATTATAATATTATAAAGTATATATCTCGATAAATAACTCATTTTAAAGCTCAGAAAAGTTGAATCTCTTGTCAGGCGTCCATAAAAAATGCAGTCACGCGTTATCGTATTAAATCGTCGTAAAATCATGCGTATAAGCGTAAGCTGTCCACGCGCGGCTCGGATGCAAATGCGAGAGCCTCGCTCCCCTCCGCCGTTAGATTATCGTGAATATTTCAAGTCACACACTCGCGGGGGGGAAGATATACGTTTAAATATATGTATATATAACGTCGAGGCTCGACATCAAAAGGATATATCCCCGGCAACAGGTTTTCCGACGTCTATATGCATGGCATTCGTCTGGCGTTGGCAGCAGCTGCTCCTTTTGCGCTCGCCGTATCTATATATTGCGGCAGCCGCGCCAAGCCTCTATATATAATATCTATATGTTGGCATTTGAAAGGAAGGTACCTCTAATAACGTGTATAATGCAGGCTGAAGTCGATAATATAAAGCACAATATTGTGTATGAGGAGACAGACTTACACAGACATAACTGAAGCAGCAGCAAGGTGGCGAGGAGGAGCGAGGTAGCGGCAAATTCGTGCGATGCCATCGGGACCGAGAGACAGCGCCTAGCTCCTCCGCTTGCTCGGGCTCGTCGTCAGGTACCTGCAACGAAATAATCATGTTATAAGACATGCGATGCAGACTGCGCGTCATGAAAAATTATCAATAATTCATCGTTTTATATACCTCTCTCTTTCTCTCTCTCTCTCTCTCTCTCTCTCTTTCGGCGCAATAAAGAAGAAACGAAATTGTCGCTTGACGTCGCGCGGGGGCCTTTGAAAATCAAAGAGCGAGGAAGATAGAGAGAGACGCGATGACGTATAATCCGTTAATGGCGACATGTATAATATACCGTACATAGTAATGCAGCCTCGCGACTATCAACCTGCCTTAATACTACGGTGTATATACCTTTATATGCACGTGTAAAAGCTACGAATCCTCAGCTATTAAGCGGAGCTTCAAAAATTCTCTCTGTGCTGCCGTGAGCGTACATATATATAAAGCTCACATCAGCAGCCTCAGCTACTCTTCATTCATCAAAGGAAAATTCACTGCCGCCGCCGCCACTGCTGCGTGCGGCGTACTGCACTGTGCAGCAGCCTTCAGCGATCGATCATCTCTCGCTCACTTTTTTTCCATAATAAACATCAAAGTTCAATTTAGCCATATATACGTGAGTCGAGAAAGGGGGGAGGGGGGTCAGGTTTGAAAAAAATTGAAAAATAATATAAATTATGTCGATCGATCCATCGAGCTCGCTCGAGCGTCGCGGTGCAGTCAGTGGTATAGTCGAGGAAGATGTGTGTATAATTGAACGATTTTTCAGCGCATAGATGCTAGTTTCGGAGAGCAGTGCTATATAGCTGCTTCTCTCTCACTCTCTCTGCATCGAAGTGTTTTCCGTCAAGCGCGTGGCGCGCGGTGATTTCGATGTATATGCGTATACAACGGCGCGAACAAGGAAAAAAGAGAGAGAGAGGGAAATGTATATATGTATATAGGCGCGTCCTACTGCACGTGTACAGCGGCGAGAGTGAAGCGACATAAGTTATGACTCGCGCCGCGTATGAATTTATGCATGAGATACGAACTTTATGCTTTATGCATTGGACGCAACTGGCGATAAGAGAGTAACTCGAGGTATATACACACACACACATACTAATGTATATACGTATGTGTGGATGTGTGTGTATGTGTGTGGAGGAAAATGGAGAAGAGGTGAGGTGAGAGAGAGAGAGAGAGAGAGAGAGAGCTTTGTGCTGCTATACACAGTCCTAAGGGTAGTTTCATCAATTTAATCGTGCGAATCGTATTCTTTTCAATTTATAGACATTATATAGCCGAAGCGCGTGGAAGTATTTTCAACTGCGATCTGCAGTCTAGTGTATGTGTGTGTGTGCTCGCGGCTGCAAAGTCACGTGCGCAACGCGCTTTGCCTCGACTCGCCCACTTTCTTCGAGTGAAATTTATATACGAGCTCTCTAATAAGATAAGAAAAACTAGTTTTCGCTCTTTCTGTCTTTCCTCGCGCGGTCTAACTCGCTCCCTCTGCACCGCAGCAGCAAGTTGTGCGCCTAGGAAATTTATGCTATTGTGAAGTATACACAAAGTCGTGCGGTGCGGCGCACACACGTAGGTATATACGCAAACGAATATATAATATATAATAATAAACACGGATTCTTTGCCCGAACAAATAACTTCTGGCACAATGAATAATCATAAGAGTAGATATATAATTTTTGCGCGCCGCGCCATGCATTCGCGCGCCAGAGAGCTCGACAAAACATTTGTCTTGCTCCGCTTTCACGCGCTTTTAGTGACTTTATTAACTCTCCAGACCTCGTGCGCAGCACACACGCGTCTATATATATCTGGCTTTTATTACACCTGCCATATATATAATAGTTGGCAGATAAATTTCCAAACTGTTTGTGGGTTTGTAGTGTGTTTCTCCCTCTCTACCTCTCTCTCTCTCTCTCTCTTAAGCGCGGTGCACTCGCGATGTAAACGCGATAAAACGCAGGTTCCACGAAATGAGTATTTATCGCTCTCGGGCCCGCGCAAGCTCGCGCGAGCTTGCAGCACCAAGTTTTTGTCCGCCCCCGCGCACGGAGCTAGCTCGCACACGAGAGAGCGATAATAGACATTGCATATTTAGCCGGTGCTCGCGCGCCGTGCGCGGGGTTTAAAAGAGCTGCGCCGCAGTTTGCAGCGACCGGGAGCTTTTTCACCCTCTCGTCGTTAATTATACATACAACTGCGCTGTGTAGTTTTGCGCTCGCACACTTTTGAATGGGAAAGAGTCGAGCGTGGCTCGAGTGCAGCTGGGCCGGGTGGGTGGCGGCGCGCCGGTAAAAACGTGTAATGAATATAATTGTGTATTTATTGTGCGAAATGCATCACGCGGTCTCGTAATTCAAAAATAAGTGAGCTCTCGCACGGAATCACAGTGCAGACTCGGACGTATTATCTTCGAGACTTTTCGACGTAGACGATCGAGTCGGTTGAGCGTTAAGTGCGTGATAGTGCTTACAAAAAGCCATTGAAAATGTGTAAGGGTATCAGCCCCGGACGCGCGCAGAAAATCGGTATGAAATTTGTCGCCCGTAGATATTGCCAACGACGCCGACGCACGATGACGCAGCTCTCAAGCCTTTCTACATATATTTTGATCACGCAGGGCAATTCTCCTTTTTGATTTAAGTTCAAAAGGCACTTTTCTAACACGTTGCAGCAGAGCCGAGCGGAGGGACGTCGTTTGGAAAAGCTGCGCGACGCAGCAGCAGCAGCCGTAACAGCATAGCAGCAGCAAGCAGCTTCTAGCCCCGGGAAAATATACTTGGTATGCGCGACCGCGAGCTAGCCCAACACGTTTCTCCTATCACGAGAGAGCGAAAGCGAGGTTCTCTCTCTCTCTCACTCTCTGGCCATCTCGTTGCGAAAATGGACCTTTGCACGCAATATATTTCATAATATTCGCCTTTTCTCCTTCGCAGAGCAGAGCAGCTATATAGCGCGTGAGAAGCCACGTCGCGCGTATATAGAGAGAAAAGGTGACTATTAATCCTCGCGCGCGCTCGAGCGCATACGAACTAGAGGGAGAAAGATCGTCATATAGCCTCGATTTATCCTGTTTTTCCATTTTCCCCGGGGCGTGAGACTGAGAGAGAGAGAGAAAGAAAGAAAGAAAGAAAGAGAAAGAAAGTGAGTGCACGTAGCGATTTATATATAATAAGTCGGAGCTACAGACGAGGGCGAGTAATTTTTTTCTATTGCATCCGTGCGCGCTCGCGATATAGATATCGCAATTGATCGTAAAAGCGAGTATGAAAATGCGTGCCCACCGTTAAAAAATATATACGAGACACGAATCGTGAATAAACCACTGCAGTGCTATTAATTAACGATGATATTTTCGAAATAATAAAAAAAAAGGTAGATAATAAGTCTGAAAAAAAGAAGGAAAAACACATTTAATCATATTGTGCACAGGTTGTATTCGCCGCGTAAGCCGTGGCAATAAAATAAGGAAAAATCGCCCCGCGACGTTAATAACCTGTATTAATATCAACGACAAAGAGGGGACAAAACTTTACGATAAAAACACTCCTCTCCGTTTCTCCTTAAATATATACGACAAAAGAAAAAAAGTACAACTGCACACACAGCTCTGCTACTGCTGCTGATGCACGAACAAACCGCAGGGCGCGAAATACCTACTTTTCTCGTCAAAACAAAAGCTTTCACCCAGGCAGCTCGTGCGATCTGCATTTTCGTAGAGAGAAAAAAAGATGGCGCATTTAAAAAAAAAAAAAAAAAAGAGCGAGAGAGAAGCAAGAAAGTAGAAGCGCAAATGCAAATTATCGTAGCGGTAGAAACGAAGCAAAGAAGAGAGAGAGGGAGAATGAGATTTACATCCGTAATGCGGTACATAAGCGCGTAAACTCTGTGCCGGTGCCGCTGCTGCTGCGCGATTGTCATTGCACACCGCCGCGTCTCTCGTAAAGTTTTGCTCGCGCTGTCCCCGACGCTACCATAGCGGACGCGTTATATACAGAAGGCAAGATTCTTCTTATGCGTTCGGCCTGCACTCGTGGTAGAGCACGGCGAGAGATTAGATCGGTGAGAACGATTATTTCATACTGTACGTATTATAGATAAAGTTTTTGGTGGGGTAATAATTGTTCGTTTAAAAAGTCGTCCAACGCGTCTTTCTTTTTTTCTCGGATATATTTTTTTGTCACCAATGAAAATTGCACGAGACGCATAAGAAAGTTTAGCAGCAGCGAGAGAACCGCAAGCCGGCTGTATAGTAGGAGGGCAGTGGCCGAGGCGCGTGAGCGCAAGTAAAATTAACGAGAGTACAAGATTAACGTAATACGCGCGTGGTCCGTAGTATATCTCGTTGGTACCCTACAAACTTGCCCATACGCGTGCTGCGAGTCTGCCTCGTCGCGAGGAAGGGTTAAAAGCAGTACTCTGGACGTATGGCGCGAGGTATAATAAACTTTTTCAAAAATAAAGGATTACCATTAATATCCATGGTAATTTTGACGGGGTTACGCGAGAGAGCTAGAGCCCCAAAAAAAGGAATATTAATGAAGCCGTTTAAATTTTTTTTAACCCTCTGGATTCTACGCGCGAAAATAACTCGCGGCTGCGGCGGCGTCGCAAAGTACGTCACGCGTGTGCGTGTAAAATTTTTTAGACAGACATTTATTTTGTTTTTTTTTTCGTAAAATGCGTGCGACACTCTTGAACAAAATATGTATGTGCTGCAGCGGTATTTCTCTCTCTCTCTCTCCTCGTAACAACGGAGATAAAAAAAATTTTTTTTTTCATTTTTATCTTTCAACAAATTTTCAACGTTACAACCTTAAAATCATTCTTTAGGCAGCCGGGGGAACTTTATCTATATGGCGTACACGTTTTTTGCACATCATCCAAGAGGCAAAAAAAGAGTTGGCGCGCACACGCATAGATACACCAAGAAAAGCTCATATAATTCGGGCTAGCTTGCACCAGCAGCGCAGCCGTGGCAGTGCTGTGCTCGCGCGAGTAAGCACAAGTAACAATCCTCTAGAGAATTTCTG